TTGTTGGCCATGTGCGGCTCCCAGGGCAGAACCATGGATCACGGCTGGACGGGACCGAGTTTCCAGCGGAGAGGGGAGAGGATTCTGCGATATTGATGTATCAATGAACCGAATCGACGAAAATGGCAACGGGCTGGCGGCGAACTCGGCGATATTAGAGATGTTGACGATGCTGCTGGTTGGAGCTGCGGTGGTCGCACAATGGAATGTACGTACAGCGATGACGATCGGCGCAGCAACGGAGCACAGAGTACGGAGTGCGTACTTGGGACACGGGTATGCTTGGTCGATAAATATTAGGACTCGGCACGCGTGGCAGCAAGGAAACGAGGCAGAGAGGCAGTCGCGCGAATTGTCGCGAGTCGAGGAGAGTGGCAGATTGGCAGTGGGAATGTAGGTGACGGTGCGGTGCCAGAGGTCAAGTGTAGACTGGATTGTGAACTGTAGACTGTGGACTGTGGACTGTGGACTGTGGACCGCGGACCGTGGATTGTGGAGGATGAGGGAAGGGTGTGGGTGGAGGAGGAAGATGCGGGTGCGGAGCCGAGAAGCGAGAGGCTGCTGTTGTGGTGTGGTGTGGTGTGTGTTGGTGCGGTTGCTGGTCGCCAATTGTTGGTGGGTTAGGATCTGGAGTCAAGACACTCGGTGGTGTGCCGTGGACGTCTAGTGTTTCAATCCACTTTCATTCTTTTTCACTTCGCCGTGAATCAAAGAAGCTGTTCAACAACACCCAAGCAGTTCCCGACAGCTTAGACAGCTTAGATACTTATGCCAGGTACGGATCCGTACTACTGCTGCTGCTACTCTAATCGGAGGGCTGGGTCGGTGATCGCCAGTCGGATTTCAACTACGGCAACCCGCTGCTGCATCGTCAAACAGTGTCCAATCCCTAGTCCCAAGCTGCTGGACGGCAGATCAACCGTGGACTGCCATGGGCGATTGGCCCGAGATGAAGGGTTTTTGGAAAAAGGGCCTCCCGTGCAACAGGAACGGTTGCGGAGTGAAGTATGCAGACTGCAATAACGCTCAATCTTGGGCTTGGTAATCTCACACAAACGGGGCTGCTCAGTCCTCTCTTGCGGTCAATCAGTGTCACACACACACACACATACACACACATGCAAACACACACACACACCCAACAACTCAACAGAGGAGAACCAAAATAGGTGTCAAAGAGGTCTCTTATCATTCCAGGGTTATTACGGATATTTAATCAGGTATTATTAATTGACATTCCCAGCCCAGCGATACTATCCCTTGTCCTTTCGTGGTTCAGTGTTGTATCCATGGCCCGTATCCATCCCCCTGCTTTCAGGCGTGACCTGGCTGGTCAACGTTTGCTATGGAAGCAAGCGTCCCACCCACCAAAGTGACTAAAGTGGTGTGTGGCAAGGGGAGCCTGTTCATCGAGCTACCATTGATGTAACAGTTGACATGAACAAGAAAAAAAAAAGTACAGCCATATGATTTACATCCAATTGTTCATTGTTGCAGATCTCATCTTGCCGGTGCTCCCGAACACCCAATCCTTGCAATATAAAGTCAAACGCTAATCAATTCCATGGCGTGTTGCAGCCGAAATCAGCCCAGCCGATCAGAACCTTTCCAGAAAAATGACGGCTCTGATGAGCTCACTGTGCAGCTTTGGGGCCCCTGCGCTACTTGGCCAGCGGTGGAGTGGTCCAGTGGTGGAGTGGTGGAGGTCGGTCTTGGCACCAGCCGAGTCCCGGTCGCGCCAGAATGGCCTCCTTGGTTCCGCGGGGCCAAGTCCCAACCAAGACGGCGGCATGCATCCGTGTGTGGTGTCGATCCTCTTTTGAGATCATCAAACCCCGTCTCCAGATGCCCTCCAACATTGCGTTTCATACGAAGCCGATAACCCTAACCCATCGCAATTATTTCCCAGAAAGTCAACCGTTTTGATGACCCTCATCAGCCTCAGAATCCTTCGCCCACCATGATGGTCCGCCCGCCGCCGTACCAGAGCGCGCCACAGCGGCAGTCGAGGCCTCTTTCCTGGCCCACAATCCACTCGCCGATGAACTCTCCGTCCTCCACATCCCACACCTCTTGCTCAAGCCACCTGTTTATGTCTTCAATCGCCTGCACCCAACGCTGCCGCTGCTCCGGCGTCTTGTGATCCTTGTCGGTCAGATAGCGCGCCAGCGTGATGTGCGCACTGGGAACCACGTATCGAGAGCCAATGGGCGTGCCTGTCCCGGCCGCGATATCGAAGGCATCCCGTCGGAGGTGATGGTACGTGTAGCGGTCGCTCTCTTCGACGCTGCCTACTAGGAGACCAGCGTGTTGGACGGTCTTTGGGGCCGGCTGCGCGGGGGGAGGGGACAAGACCTTTTCCCCGGCAGCCGGCACAAAAGACACTGCTACGGCGGACAGGTCATATGAGATCATTGGCTTGACTACACGGGCGCGACGGATAGAAGGCAGACTTGTGAGAGTGGGAATGATATCCGAGAGTTTCGATACAAGGCCCGCAATCTCATCGGCCGTCTTCGAGTGGGCAATCTCTAGGGTCGTCATGTGCATGCGGTGTAGTGGCATCAGCCACAGATCTGGGGGTAGGCGGCTCACCACATCAGCGCTTGGCTCAATCAAGTTGGTAGCAAGCCAAAGGCACTTACTGGGAGCTGCTTTGAGCAGCAGTGACTGGAGATGGGCAGCTAACTTGAGGATGTGCTCTGGGGGTCGGGCCCAAAACACAAGGCAGTGTCGCTCATCCTTGAAGCCGGGCTCGATGTCAGGCTTCTCCAAGCGCAGTAACACCGGGTCGATGATCAGTCCCTTGAAATCTGGGGATAGGAATTTCTCTCGCTGCTGTGCATTTCTCGTGGTGCGGTGCGTCGTGTAGAGAGCCTGGATCTTGATCTGCCCGGTGGTCAGCGGTCCGTCGCAACCAGAGAAGGCCGCCTTGCGACCACAGGAGTCCGAAAGTACCTTACCGGATTGTCCTCGCAAGCATTGATGAGAGCATTGTACGGATTGCCATCTGCGTCTGTTTTGACGCCTGACAAATCTTCATATTTGTTTTGAAGTTGAGGAGCGGAAGTGGCCATTGTTATTTCCCGAACCCCTCCCTCTCTCTGGCCCAAAGTTACCTTCAGCTAAAATCGATCGAAAAAAACAACGGATCGACACCCCACACCAACCTAAAATTTGTCTTTTTCACTTTTTTATACAACGAAGGCACAAGAATTCGAGCTCTAGACTCCACAGAGTATTCCTTATGCCTAGTCTCTGAGCTTATCTGGCTAGTTCAAGCCTAAGATGCGGTTGGCTGCTGAGGACGCAGTTGACTCAGCCACATAATGGAGATCCTCAGCCACACGCAGTCTCTGGCTTTGTCAGCCACACGACACGCCGAACACCGAAGGGAATGACATCTTGGCGCCCCGTCGAAGGCGCCATCCTCGGGCCGAACCGCCGAGCCTATCACTAGCATGCCGACCAGCGCCCGGCCGGCCGCCGACGTTGTGTCACCGCTGAAACGGACGGATCCGAGTGGAGACTAGACCGGCGTCTAGGACCGTCTACGAACAAGCATCAAGCATCCGCTACTCCTTGAATCGCAAATCTGTCTCAGTCGAAGACCAGATGGCCTGGTTCACATGATAACCGCCACGAGTTAAACTCCATCACTACTTTAAGTCCTCGGTCTTCTGTCAAATAGTCAAGACATTCGATATCCATGAGTCCCATGTACTTCACTCTACATAGAGCTACCTCTAGCTCTGAATTCGAAGATTTCCGGCTCCTCTGGCACTTCATCACTCAAAAATAGGACATTTAGCTTCCCTTCATTCCAACCCCTTTCCACCGAGCGAACCCTTCAGCAGCTGCAGTTTGCAATTCTCCTTCCATTCCTATTCGACAGCTGACTACCAGTTTGATTTCAGAGCTAAAAGAGGCATGATGGTCGGAGCAAGAAACAAGTCCAACCATAGGATCAGTGTCACATGGACACGGCAGTCCAAGGAAAGGGATATCCCCGACCGCCAACACAAGGGTCACCAGAGACAGGATGATTATGAGCAGCACAAATACGTGGTTTGATCCCGGAAGATGTCTAGAGCCGGATGAACGAAGAGAATGAGCCATATGGCCGAGGCATGATGAGAATTCTAGTAAGGAAACTGCCCGGACATGATAGATTTCTCTTGGTTTTCCTCCTCTCCCTAACACAAGGGCACTGAGGACTAAGAAAGATTATTACACGTAGCAATTGACTTCGCTGTGCACCCCACATCGTCAGTGGCCATCATCTAACCCATTTGACCTATTGTCAATCTTTGCCTGCACCAGACCAAGTCACCCGTTACAATCAGGAACACAACCATTACTACACAAACAATGCCGACAACACTGAAATTTTGAGCATCGGCGACTGTGCGCACGAGGTGGTTACATGGTTGCTCTTCATGCACGTCTGAGTAGTCGGCCGATAACAAGTTCGTGCGGTCAACATACTTTGACATGTTCCCAGCAGCTGTGTTTGGCTCAGGTTCAAAGGGACGTGACTAGCGTTGTTCCAGTAGAATAAACCTTTGCTCCCTGGTACCGGCTCTATCGCAAGAAAAAAAAAGGATCGCGGACTGGAGTGGTATACAAGACAACATAGATTTTGGGAAAGAGGAAAGTGATGTCAGCGTCGTCCCTCTCGAAGTCTGAAGTAGGCTGCCAGTTACCCGTCTCAGGTGCACCCCCGTAACTAACTCTCGGATTGATCCGTGATAGTGCTAACTTGTCAATGCCATGCCCCGTCTCTATCCCTTAGGGGTGCTATAATGGGGTATACGACCGGGTCATAAAGCATAATTTACGAAGTGAAACATACACAAGGATCATGCCTACATTCTGTAGTTTGATGTCTGTATAACCGATCATGAAGTCCCCTCCAAGGCTGTTTCGAGTGTCAGGGACCAGTCGTAAAGGCCTGGCTTGGAGTAGTCCTGCCAGAAACCCGTTTCAATCGCAACTATGCGGAGAGTTGGCTAGATATATGCCAGCAGATAGTGCAGGAGAAGATTGAAGGAAGTATAAAAGGGATTTGTGGGCTGGTATGACCTGGATGGTTCAAGTTGTGATCCAACTGTGCAAGTCTAGTGCAGGAAATTAAACGACGAATCATTCTCTCTTTAGTTCGACCGAGTTATATGTCTCTCCATTGTACAGCTTCGCGGTTGGTGAGGATGTTCGACTGATGCACGCAACCATCTCTACAGCCTTGCAACAACAATCTATCGGAAGATATCCTCACATGATCTGCCACTCAGCCTTGTCTAGACAGCCCACCGACATCGCTCCTTGGAGGGGCCAATATCAGAGTATAAAGTTCAATCAGCTCACTTCGTAGTGTGATTGAAAGAGGCTGACTGTCTGTCTTTCGGCCTTCCAGTCTTTCAGCATCGGTGATTGCTCAATTATTGATTATGCACCCACGGTTGTTTTACCTCGGGTGTGGCATCGGAATCGCACGAACAGGAGCAATGCCACTTATCGGATGTTCATTAGCTGCTTAAAGCTTCTTCCAGGCCCAAAAAAACTCTGAGATAGCAACAAGCGGGGACATGCTGAAGCTTAACGTGGCTATGACTTCATTACTACCGCGCTTCCTTCCTTGGAGAAACTTTCGCTGGTTCCTCTGGTGTACCTTATTACTCTTGGCTATCCCGTGCAATGTCTCTCAGAGCTCAGTTTACTATCAGCGTCCCAACTGCACCAATATGCTTTTGTTATATGAGTTTAGCAACACTGCTAGAACCGGAAAAAAAAAAAAGAGCATGAGCGTCAATGCTAGAACCAGTTGATTCACATCGTTGCTCATGTAACAGAGCTTTAGTATCATAACTCAAAGAAATTTTGGACTTACGCTTCATCCAGTCCCGAACCCCATTTGCTAGCTTATGACTTCAATGATGATCTTAAGCTTCACTATCTGCACTACAGTTCTTATAAAGTTTTATGACTTCAGAAAGGCGCTAAGGCGCTCTGTCACTTTTAGAAGGTTTCAGATAAGCCCGGGTTCGGTAGGTGTGAAATCGGCATTTTCGGCATGTAGCATCGCCAGCTTGGTCCTGAGCCAACCAAGCACTTCTCTCTGCCACTGCATACTGGGCAGGCCGCGAGACGCCAGTGTAAAAGGACCAAAAAAAGGAGTATCTGCCCAGAGAGATCCCGCACCAAAAGCGCTGACGGCCTGACAGAAAATGCTGTTAGCCAGTGCCATCGCGATTGGCACAGCTGTCCATACTTGGGCATCACTGAAGCCCTAACTCCTGGCTGTGCGTGATTACCTTAAGGGCAGTGTTCGAGAAACTATCGGGCTCGGTGTGTTTCGAAGTGGTCGGATTACATGTTGTATACTTTTCGGCATAAACCACCTCCTGAACTTCGCGACTCTATCGACACAGCGAAAAGGCGACACTCTCTTCGAGCGAGATCTTCTCCGTTGCTTTGAACAAGGGATCATCGAGTGGGGCCATATGTTTAACATAATTCTGGCCGAGAACGTAGACAGTTATGTCGGAGTTACTGTTGCTGAGATCCGGGATCCAATGTTCCCGGCCGTCAAAGGGGCTCAGTTATTGTTACTTTCGATGCTTCGGACGCTTTCTGAATTATGCTATGTAATTGTAGTCACCTACACGACTCGAAACCCCAGAATATTAATCTTATCATTAGCAAGAGGTATTGGTGAGACTTCCGCAGTCTTTTTGGAATGTCACCACCGGTTTGCTAAGCGTGAAGTTGATGGACTTTGTCCTCAACTGATATTAGACTGCTATAATCTAACACAGCACATTTGGCGCTGGGTTAGAACTTGACTCGAGGTTTTGGATTTGCATTGATTTCCAGATGATTTTGGCTGTCAACCATTGCGATTTGCGCTTTGGAGACCGCCGTATCACATTTCTTAGTTGCTGCAAGTGGACATGAAACAGAGACTTTAGCCGTGTATGGCAGTGGCTAGAGAATGGAGATAGAAATTGCTGCAGGCTCAGTAACATTGGCGTAGAAGTTTTAAGTATAAGTTTTCTCAACATGTGTTTTGCTGACCATTCAACCAGAGGAAAATGTCACGGCCTTGTTCTAATCGTCGGGAGACATATCTGAGTCAATTCTTAAGAGTTCGTATCGATAGAGCCCGGTATATAAGTGATAGACCGACGGGGCCAATTAAAACCACATACAGCCCGGTTGATTTGAACCCCGACAAGGAATGTTGGGAGGGGTAGCCCAAGCTGTCTTCCTAAAACGGGGTGTGGCGCGTAGAAAAGCATCATGCTTGTAGAGAAACCAGAGTAGAACTTTACAAAACTGTAGCCCCTCAGCTGCCTGACCGGTCAGCGACTGAGTTTTACCTTATAGTTCAGGATTGGTAACGGGGGGTTTTCCTGATCAGTTCTTAAAATATTTTGCGTAAGATCACCCAAGCATTTCTTGGTCAATTAGATAAAACTAGAGCTATAAACTTGCTATTTGGACTTGATTAGTTCTTTACTGACAGCAAGGCTAAGTCACTCCTTGGAAAGATGGCGAGTACTGACCGCTGGCAACAAGTGCGAAATGACTCGATTTTTCAAGTCTTGAGGGCATCGTCCCTTGAAACTGTGTGTGGTGCAGGAATGGTAAGGCATGTCAGCGCTTCAAGCGTTGCTGAGAGATACCGGTAGCAGCCCTTGATGATAAGAGAAAGATGAGAAGTGGACTCAAAGAGACATCACATCAGGCTAGATCGCACGCTTAAAGAAGGATGGATTTTAGATGATGGACGTTATATGGACTGGAACTATGAAATCAATAACCTTTTCTAAAATCTGGCATAAACGAACAAGTCTGGCAAGAAAAAAAAAATACCTCGTCGCCCTCGGATACCTCTCCCCCCTCTCCTCTCAGTCCCTTATAAGTCCTCCATTGTCCAGCTCTCATCCTCCTCATAAACCTTCCTCCCAGCAACCCACGTCTCTTTCACCTTCACTCTCCTCAGATCCTCCTCGTCGCCACCTAATTCCCTATCAACCACCACCCAATCAGCCCACATCCCCTCTTTAATTTCTCCACCATTCTTCTCCCAGAAAGCTGCCCTAACAGCTCCCTTAGTAAACCCATCGAGCGCTTCGGCCAAGCTCAGCCCCTCCTCCTTCCTATACCAACCATCCTTTTCCTTCCCAGGACCGCCTTTTCCAGACTTCGGATCCTTCCTCGCTACAGCTGCATACAACCCCCCGAACGGGTTGGCCGGTTCTACGGGGAAATCGCTGCCCAAACAGGGGGCGAGGTCCAAGAGTGAGCGCATGCGGTAGGCCGAGAAAGCGATGCGCTCGGGGCCTAAGCGCAGTTCGGCGTAGGACATGTCGGAAGTGGCGTGGGTGGGCTGGATGGAAGGGATGATGCCGAGGGCGTGTAGGCGGACTTGGTCAGCGGGATGGATGATTTGGGCGTGTTCGATGCGGAAGCGGCGTGATTGTTGGCAGGAAACTAGGCGGGAGGGTTCGTCTGAAGGGGGGCAGACGTCGTTGAGGGCTGCTTCGAGGGCATCAATGGCAAGGCGGTTAGCGCGGTCGCCTATGGCGTGAATGTTGACTTGGTAGCCAGCGGAGGCCCAGGAGCGTGCGAGCTTGGTCAAGGTGGTTGCGTTGACTAGGAGAGAGCCGGATGTGTCGGGTCGATCGCTGTATGGCTCGAGAAGGGCGCTGCCCCAGCTGCCCAGGGCGCCGTCTGTGATTGTTAGGGGTGATTCAATTCAACAAACCTCAAGGAAAACTTACCTGCAAACAATTTCACGCTTCTAACCCTCAACATCGGATGTTCGACCTTCCTCGCGACCTCAGGACAGAAACTATTCCTCTCAGGACACTCAATCATAGCATAAACCCTCATCGTCCACCCATTTCCCTCCTCGTTCGCCATCTCTTCATACAAAGCAATATCTTCCGGCGTGACACCCGCATCATGAATGCCCACCAGCCCAACACTATGCAGCGAGCGCATGGCAGACCGCACGAACTCCTTCTTCTGCTCGCGGCTCGGCCTTGGCCAAAGAGGCATGACCAAGTCCATCGCATTATCACAGAACACCCCAAGCCCAGGGTCGCGAACGATCTCGCCGCCCGGCACCTCGGCCGGTAAGTTTGGTAGGAGCTGCAAAACTGCCGACGATACCCAAGTGCAGTGCACATCGACCCGATCAAGCATGATATACTTCCCTTTCAACCGCTCATCCTCATCTAACAAAGCCTGTCCCAAAATCAGCAGTTAGTCAGCAATCCAACACCCCAACGTTTTGAACAAAACTGAAGCCAAAAAAAAAAGGGGAATACCTGCAGCACTCGGCATCCCCCCCAACCGCATCTGATCCCACCCCACACCCCTCACCCACCTGCTCCTGGTCCCAGCGTCCGGATTCTTCTCAACATACTCCCCTATCCTCCTCCTCACCTCCTCGAACGACTCCGCGCCAAATAGATCCACGGAATGCAAGAACTCTCCATACTGCAGCAAATGCCCGTGTCCGTCCCACAGGCCGGGGAGGGCATGTCCCTGGCGGATTTCAACCCTTTCCCGCGTAGCGGGGTCAGTGGATGAAAACACCCTCACGAAGCGTCCATCTCGAACGGAGAAGCAATTCACTCCCGGGACGGGGTTGATACCGGAAGAAAGGATGGACTGGTAGCAGTAGGTTTGTGTCTGCGTTTGTAAGTCATGGCTAGGAGGAAGGAATTTGCCCAGCAGGCGCTGGACGAAGGAGATGAGGTCGAGGTTCACTTTGCCATCAGGTGAGGAGGACTTTTGGCCTTGAAGAGCGAGGCTGATGGCCACGCCGATGGCAAAGAAGAGGATGCGGAGCGCCCAGCTGGCGGGGGGCGGTTGGGTCACTGGAGGGGGTGCTGGAGACATGAGATGTGTAGGTGGGTAAAGGTTTGGTGATAAGAATATGTAAGATGTATGTGAAACTGAAAGCTGGAGATAAGTCAGCAGTGCGGTAAACTCTAGTTTCTGTTTTTGGATTGCTTGGAAATTCTTACTGAAGTGTCAGGAACCAAGAACTGTGTGCGTGGTAATTACTTAGGGCAATGTGGGTGAGCGGGTGAATGAGAATTGGTTTAAGTGAAGTCGGAGGACGGCTACAAATAGCAGATAAACAAGGGGTCGCGATAAGACGGGATGAAATTCCGAAACGACCCCAGATCCACATCGGCTCCGGAGTCGGCGCCGGCCCGGCTGCAGGGAGCCGACTAACTAGCCTATGAATGTTCGGGATGCCTGTTTTGTCCCGGCCGTTCTTCAGGTCATGCCTATGGGCTACGAAGGTAAAGCGTGAAAACCCAGTTGGGACTAAGGCCAGCTGAAGAGTCCCCAAGAACTGGTGCTGTTTTACGTAAAAATTCGAATCGCTTCACGTTCATGTACCTAGCTGGGATCGCGACAGCAGAACATAAGGATCGAGGGACGGTCATCGTTCCCTTCCACGGCTTGGCCAATAAGCATCTCACAATTCCCACGTCGAAGAGTACGGAACTTGAATCTGAGGATCATGAAGCCAACAAGTAGCGACTACCTTAATTCTATATACAAGCACCGGTTTATCATCAACAACAGTCAGTCAGAGCAGAGCGAAAAAGCAGGAGAGCCGCAAAAGCAAAACCCCGCGAAGCCAATCCCATCGCCCCTGGAAAGTCACTGAAAGTAGGGCAACGGCCAGCACAGAAAGCTCGACCGTAGCCGGTCCAGGAGTGCCTCGACGTGAGCAGAGGTACGTAACCTAAATATATCAACAACCAATACTTCCCCTGACGATGATGACAATGACAATGATGATGATGCTGGCCCCAAGGAACCAAAGACAACCCCCACACCAACCGAACCAACACAAGACAGCCATCAGCAGCAACCACAACCATGATGACTGACCTAGGCAATTCATCGTCAATCAATCAACCGGTCAGTTTCAATTAACGAGCGCTTCATTCGTTATACCATCGACGTGTGTTCGATCTCAACAACGACGTCATCTGTAACATGTTGACGTTGCGCGACGTTTTTGTCCGGGCGTGCGTTTGTTCGTTTAACGTTAGCGTAGTGTAACAGAGTGTGCATGTTGTTGTGTTGATGTTGTACGTAGTATTGCAATAGAGCGTTAAAAAGAAAACCTGCCGCACCGCTCCCAGCAAAGCAACAGACCAAGTTAACAAACCCAAGATATATGAGCAAGACTTGAGAGTGCGACACGACATTCCAAGGGGACGATGAGAGAGAGCACAAGAGAAGAGGGAAGAAAAAAAAGAGAGAGAGAGCCGAAGGGAGGGAGATGTTAAAAGGAGATAAACAGAAACACAACCAACAACACCCAATGTATATAAAGCCCCTCACTCCTGACCAAAGCCCATCGTCTCCTCAACAGCCATCGTCAGCTTCTGCTGCAGCTGCTCCAGCGTCTTATACGGAGGGAGATCAAGGCGGTTGAAGCTGTGAAATATGTTAGCATCTTCGGCCTGAGAAAGTTGGTCAAAGGCAACGTACCAAGTATGCGCCTTGGGCAGATTATTGATATCACCCGCGCGCTCAATTGTGAACCGTCTCGGTCCATCGCTGCCCTGCAGATCCTTGAACCCATTGACCGGAATACGGCTGGTACCCGTGGTGAACTGCAACAGTCGGCTCTTCTGCTCGCTATCCCACGACCGCACCGTCTGCCAGAAGAACTGGATGACCTCATCACTCTCCGTGTACCCGCGGTAATCTGTGTGCTTCTTCCAGTCGTCCACATCAATTTCCGCAATACCGCCAATCAGCAGCTCCAGCTCGCGCTCGTCAAACACATTGATCAGATCCTGCGGGATGAGCTCGTTAAAGCCCTCCTTGAACGCCTTAAACTGCTCCTCGACACGCTTCTGGATACGCCACTTGACCATTAGCTCGACGTACTCGCGTTTGTTCTCGTTCGTCACCTCGATGTTGCGACCGTTAGGCTTGAGATCCTCGACCGTGATGACGCCGAAGCGCTCGTCCTCCGTCGAGAAAGTAGCCTCGATGATGCCTCCCGAAATGTCATTGTCGAGCATCCACTGCAGCGAACGATGGAAATCGGCATCGACGCCCTCCATGTCGGCCAGGGTGACCGGCTTGCCGAGGATCATCTTGTAGAAAGCGGTAATGAAGAAGGCATCGAGGAAGCGCCTGTGGAAGATAGCCAACCCTACTACCCGCCCGATGAACTTAAAGTAGTTGAGATGCTCAGGATTAATGCCCGAGTGCGGGTTGATCTGGAGCGTGTAGTTGTCGTGTGCCGAGTACTCGAACAGGCAGTAGAAGGGGTTGAACATCTCGTGCGACAGGAGGAAGAAGAACTCGCGAGACAGACCGCCGTAGTCCAAACCATCCTCACCATCGAACTTGATCATCAACCTCTTCTTCAGGTCGGTCGCCGACTGCCGTGAGATCTCGGCAAAGGCGTCCTCAAAGATGTGTGACCGGCGCACCTTAATGTGGCACTGTCCAGACAGGATACGCATAGCAGGCTGCGACCGGAAGTAGATAAGCTTCCGGCGGAAGTCACGCTTGTACTGGGGTACGTTCTGGTCAAGAGACGATGGCAAGCGCGGATCGTCCCAAGTAGTGGTCTTGGTGTTGTGATCGACGAAGTAAACACGAGCCGTGTTCGTCAAACGCATCTCCCAACCACTAGGCAGCGGGCCCAATTGTGACACGGGCTGCTGCTGAATAATACCGTTGGGGTTGTTACCACCATACATCCTGATATACTGCTGGCGCCGAGGGTCCACCCAGGTAGTTGTCCGGGTGTTGTGGTCGACGAAGTACGGCCGACCCTCAGGTGTCCAGCGCATCTCCCAGCCCGGCGGCAGCTCGCCCGTGCCTGCGGTCGTAGCTCCCGTATGGACAAGCGCCGTCGCCTGGGCTTGTGCCACTGCCTGCTGCTGCTGGAGTGTTGGCGAGTTGGCTCCCGTGCGATCCTCTGGCAGCGAACGGTTCTGGTGCTGCTGCCGCTGCGCTTGTTGAGTCGCTTCGGCATCTGACTGCCCTGTCCCCGTTGGTCGGTTCCAGCTTGTCGTCCGGGTGTTGTGATCTACATAATACGTCCTCCCGAGGTGATCTTCGCGACGCTCCCACCCGGGCGGCAACCGGCCGAGTGCGTCCTCGAACGGGCTGAGCTGTCTGACATCGACCTGCCGCGGCTGTACCGGGGTCCCGTTGGCGGTTGCTGTTGTCGTGCTGGTTGTGGCAGCTGCCGTGGCCTGGCTGGTTGATGTCGTTGACGCTAAGCTGGCAGGCCTGTGTGCTAACGGCATCGGCTGACTGGCAGCCGGTGTACCGTTCGTCGACACAGCCGACGACATAGCGGATGAGGGACGGTCCGTTGTGCCGTTCGGGGTCGAGGTCTGCGGCGCAAGCAGAGAAGGTCTACTAGCCGAGGGGGTCTGCTGAGTGCGGTTAGGAGTTGAGAGGTTCGTCGATAGGTTGATAATGAGCTTTCCGTGCACGACGAGGTTATCGTTTGACTTCTTGAGGTCCCGGGTAAGCATTTGATCTGGGGCGGTCAGCCATGTCCTTCTAAATCTAAAATTATGTTCCCCTTCTTACCGTCGGCGTCCGGGACCAAGTCGATCACATCGCCTATCCGGATGTTAATAACACCCAAGAACCCCTGGTCCTTTTTCTTGAACTTTTTCTGGTCAAACACCTGGATAGCCAGGATACTGTCCTCGTTTACCCGACTGCAACATGTGAGCGTCTGGTCAACATGATAGGGACCAAGCACACATACAAATCAAAGCTCTCGTTCCAATATGGGTTCAGGGTCCGTTTCGACACCTGAGTCGTCTTAGTCTGCTCGCCGTTGATGGTAGCTACCGCGAAGGGATCAGGAAACCCTGCAGAGACCAATTAGCACATCGCAAACGCAGGGGGATCGCAAGGCCAGCATTCAACGTACTGAAAACATCTCGCTTGTACAAGCCATCGGCGGCGATGACTAAATAGGCGGGGTCAGCGGCTGTTCCAAGAGAAGGGACAGATATGGTCCGAAGGCTAGAATAGGGGAGGGGCAATACTTGTGACGCGGAGATTGGGTTGGCTGTTGCACCTTTGTTAGCTCTGCTTTCGTCCAGACCGAGCAGGGCACGTCATTGTCACTGGAATGCCAGCCGGAGCGGCAGTAGCGGCATCCCCGCGGCGGGGAGCCTAGAGATATAAGATCAGGACAGGGCGTCGACTTACGCTGGAAGGCCATCCATCCGAGTGTTGTTGCTCATGGCTGTGGCGGGTCGCGCAAGTCAGGGCTTGCGCGAGGAGCCCGGGAACAGTCACGCAGGTAAAAGCGAGGAAGAGGTCGGTCGGCGTCGGAATCAGAGACGTCGTCGAGATCAGATGGGCACTGGAGACCGTTCGCGCGAGGCAGGCAGTTTGGCAGGCCAGAATCAGGGACGGAGGAGCAGGAGAGAATGGAATTGAGATCTGCCTGCGGAAGAGATGTGTAGGAGCGGGATACGGATTACTCGAAGGACTTGAAGAGCGTGCTCGTTGTAGGTATCTCGTGGACAGAGCTGGTGCCGGTGCCGGTGCCAATGTCGATGCGCAGAAGCCGAAAAGCAGTGCCAAAAGGGAGACAAAGAAAAAAAAACACACGAAGGGGTAAGGGATATGTCGAGTTACGGGATCAAAAGATACGGTACCGAATATGCGGGCACCACCAGCACACGACTCGAGCGACGAGCGCAGCACGTCAGGACGGTCAGGATGCGACAGGCGATGAGGGTCTGTTGGTGTTGTTCAGACTGCAAAGAGATGGAATGGCACAGGATGGCAATCTGATGGCCACGAGATGGATGATGTGTGGCAGACTGGCCAGTCGGGGAACGATGGATGGTCGAGCCGGCGAAATCGAAATCGAATGGTTGATGGATGCTTGGACGCTGCCGACGTTGAGGCTGTGCTGCGGTCCCCCTTCGTGCCTTCGGCCAGACACCCCGCTTTGGCCAAGATTCAAGGCCAGGTACCCTAGGTCAGGTAGGCCAGTAAACTGTCGGGCCAGGACAGCAAAAGCGGATGGGAGCTGTTAGCAGTTAAGAGCTTCTCCAGCAGACACCGGCCGCAATCACTTCTACTGCCCTCAAACGGAGAGAATTCGGAGGCAGAACCGCTCAGTCGGGAGATAGCCAAGAGTCGCAGATGCACATCGCAGCAGTCGGCTCACTTGCTGGGCGCTTCTGCTCCGTCTGTGACTTGTGAGGTGTTTGTTTCCAGAGTGGTTCTTAACGTCCATGCCCTGCTGTTCCTCGCGTACCAGTGGGCGGGACAGTGGGGAGCGGGACCGTCACACGGTGTGGACGGTGGACGCATGCTACCAAGCGGCGGCTTTTGGTACTTGCGTCTATCGGGGCATGTGTCTTCAACCAACCGAGGTGCCCCAACGGCCTGCCAGGGTTGGCGACTTGGCTCTCGCCTGTTAGCGCGCTGCCCCGCCGGTTCAGCGTGCCAAGGGCGGCTGCATCAACGGCGCATCGATTCGCCCGACCTGACAGTCGGCAGGACTTTGCATGGTTCTCTTCGCGTCCTGAGTGTGAGAAGAGTGGTCAGCGACGAGGCTAACATAAACAGGGTAAGGTCAGCATGTCACATGATGGGCCCGGCCAGTCTCTTTTCTAGAAACCTTCCGACCAGAGGTGGCTGCCAGGCAGGGAACACACCTCAGTTGCTGACACGCTCTCCGTATCGGTAATGGATAATGGAACTGTGCAGGCAGTGTCTTGAACTTTGATAGGGGGCCGTGTGCGCTAGAGCGGCGCACTGTCTGTTGGTGGGGCAGTGGGGCAGACTCGCCAGCTGCAAGGCTCTAAATTTCTTGCTCCAAGTCCAGTTTCATGTCCTAAAACTGGCTTTTAGGACCGTGTCTTCCCGGTTCAAGCAACCTGTGCCGCAGGTTCCGTTGGATTTTCCTGCTACGTACCTATCATTCAAACGCTTGTCCATTGAGTGCCTGTCAAGAGCAATGCCATCTGCTTGGTAGTTGCGACAACTGATTTGAAAATCGAAAGTTATCAACTGCTAAGGCTTGGCTGAACTACAAGCGAAATACCCCAGTCTTCCGAATTGGAAAGAAATGCATATGATATGATTTGCAATCGAGAGCTTGCAGATGCGCCTGTGAAGTGCTGTTGAGTCTTGAGGAGTCTTGAGGCTATAATCAGGTAGGCACAATTGATACCAAAATAACTCTCCAAGGGCTGCTAGGGCGGTCACCACTACAACCAAGGATAATATCTGACAAGATGGCGCCGGGCTTCTCAGAGATTGGGCAATAGTGGAATTGGATCATTGCTTGATAGTCATGACAGCGGTGACAAAAAGTCTCTCACCACAGCCGACAACCTCGAGACCGCTGTTCGTACCATATACCTTATAGACAATGCCCACATCTGGTTTAATTCCCCGTGGCTGCCAAGCAGGCTTAAGCTCTCGGTGAAGAAAAAGGTGAAAAACAACAGTAGTGAAAAGGGTAATCCGCTGAGCGATGAATAGACCATCCGTTTCTTTTGTCCATGTTGTCCCCCTGACGCCTTGCCAACACAAACAGCAACCCAACTTTGTCCCGTAGAAAACGAAAAAGACGCCTCCCTTCCCGGCCTCCCTATCTCACACATACTGGAAGGGCTGCTTGCTAGGTAGTGTAGCCTTGCCACTGATCAATCGTTCCGACCAAAACCGCGTCCATCCGTAGACCCATCCCGCCCGTCTCATCCAGTAAGCCTCACTCAAATAACATCAAAGGTCATCCCAACGCGGCTCACCACCAGACTCTCTGCCAGCAGCGCCAGCAGCGATCCTAATACGGTGCATAGCCCCCGCGTCCCCGTCCGCGATAGCCACCACGGTAGCCGCCCCGAGGGAACGGAGCATAGCTGGGATGGTAGCCGCCTCTGCCGGGACCGCCATAGTAACCACCGCGGGGGACGCCACGATACCCGCCACGGAAGCCTCCACGGCCACGCGACATGCCGGGAATGTTGGTGCGCTTGGGGGCAACCTTGATGTTGCGACCCTTGAAGACAGAGTCATTGAGAACTAGCGCCTGGGCGACGAGAGAGGGCTCGGCAAACTCAACGTAGGCATAGCTACAAGACTTTCAGTATGAACCCGCAAAGACAAAGCTATGTGTCGGAGCAACAAGATGACATACCCCTTGGGCTGGCCGGTGAATTTGTCCAGGAGAATAGTAACGCGGTTGATGGAGCCGCAGCTCTGGAAGTGGGCCTGCAACTCCTCGGGCGAGGTGGAGTAGTCGACGTTGCCAACAAAGATGCTGCGGCTGTCCACCTCCTCCTTGTCCTCTGTCAGATCGGCGCGCGCCTGGTCGAGAGACGCCTGCATTTCGCGGAGCTTAGCTGCCTCGGCCTCCATCTCGGCCACCCGCCGCTTCATGGCAGAGATCTCTTCCTGTCCCGGGGTATTGCATTAGCCATCTCTTATTCTCTTTTCCTGCTACTTCCTTTCCTCTTGCTAGGGCAGGGCGATGCGGCCGGTCACAGGTCGGGGTGGGTGGCGCACCTCCTCGTTGGCATCGTCGGCATCGGTGCCGTCGGCATGGTCGCGCGTCTCATCGTGGGGCTTCTCCCTGTCTTCTACTGCGCTGCTCATTTTAATGGATGGTCTGCAGATGGCAAGTCAGCCAAATAAGTTTGGGTGTTGGATATGCAATGCTTGGATGACCGTTGGTGCCAGCTGCAGGTTGACTGGCGATTGCCATCAACCCAAACAACCGACCACAAAGGACTAAAGACGGGGGGCATCATTGTACCTTGCGTGTGTGAAGTATCGCCGTAAAAAGATGTTTCGCAATGCAAACTGATCGATAAAAAAGGAACGGCGCTGAATAGGGCTGCAGCTCTGACAGCACAACCTGAGCTGATGCTATCCAGAGGTGTTGCACCTTTCCAAAGATTCAGACACGGCGAGGCGGGCAGTTGGCAGTTGGGGTCCAGCACGGTCAGCTTTCACTGCATTCAGCAGTCAGCGAAGCCGAGCCTGCCTGGTGCACGTTCCTCGCCGCGCCAACGACAAGTGGGTTGAGTGGTTGTTGGATTATGTAAGCTGAGACGCACGGACCAGTTAACCGTTGCTCGCTTTGTTGGAGGTTTTCAGAAATACGGAGTTTGGTGTGTCGTTGGAGAGTGTGTGTCCAGAACGACTGGTCAAAGCAACTGAGATAAGATCTGCTCGTTGTTTGGATATAATTTAATTTGCCATGATTTGTGTCTCTACATGATGCTTTGAGAGAGATAGCGAAACAAGATGGCGATCTGGAGGTCTCACGCATCTCAAGTAGAGCCATATTAAGTGACTAAAGACTGTTACTTTAGATACTTACAGGAGAGATTCAGGCTAACACTCTCAAGTCCTAACCTTTCAAGATGGTTGGCATCATGGAAGATCCAGGATTTGCAGCAGATTGCAAAGAAGATGTGGAAGTCAGAATATTAGACAAACCTGTCCACAAAATTATTAGAAGTAGTTATGGTTCAATAATTTGCCCTGGCAACCGTCAGGGGTAATGTTGACCTTTAGAACTATGGGTAGCAAAGAGGCTATAATATTAGTCACCAAGTCAAGATCCATTCAGCTTGTTATCTGTATATCATTTTCAGTAATATCATCACTTCAAATGAGCTTTATGCATTCATTGTTATCTCTCATGGTGTAAGTGGGGACCTAACTCTGTGCATTGGAGTTGACGTGGACTCTTGCTTTGGATCACTGTATAACACTGGCAAAGATACTTAACTGTTCATCCAATTGAAACAACAACAACAACAACAACAACTGTCGAAAAGAACGTTGGCTGCTTGACACAGGCAGCCATTCACAGTAGCTTGGTGAATTGGGAAGTTTTAACGCTACTGCAGAAAACACTGTATCGAGCCTTAACTTCAGAGAGCTTGAGGAGCCCCCGCTTTGACAGCTCTTGAGAACATCAGATCCGGGTCTTGAGCAACGACAACTGCAGACCCTAAAAAAGCAATATCGCATATCACATAAATACGAGGGTTTCCGGGTCTGAAATTCAGTAGACGCTGCTTTGGGGCGCTGCAAACGCTCTTTTGTCGTCTTCTTGTGCGATTTGTTCCCTTCAACCCCTCTTCAAACGTACTTCCCTGACTTGAAAGAGCCGACTCCTCAGCTCAGCTATGTTCCAAGAAATTCCTTTGGCCACGTGCGATGCGTGGTCTTTCGCGCATAGCGAGTTCTATGTCCAGGCCAGCGGCAACAACCGGCACGCCGCGCGATTCTCGAGTTCAGGGATGCTTTTGACGGCAACGCAGTAAGGCCAGCCCGGAGCACTGGTATGAGGCGCAGCTGTTACACTATGGACTGTTCCCTCTAAACTAAAGGCACAGCCAAGATGCGGTTGTCAGACGCCGTCTCGAAGAGCTGCTTGACTGCTCCAAACCATATCCCCAAGATCGAAGCTGAACTGAAGAAGGAATGGGCGAAGAAAGAGCGCGGGCTAAGCAAGCTGCTGCTGAGAAGCAGTCGGTTACTACGAAGCAGTCAGCACAAGAGCCGAAAGCCGCAGCCGGTAAGACTGAGTCTGCACTGGAACTAAAGTCGGGAAAGAGAAACGCTGACAATGGCAACGTTGTCGCTCCGGGAACGAGTATCAGTCTCAACCTCACCGTCTCTGTTGGGCCTAACGGTGCCGTCCAAGTTCACTCTGCTTCCCTTCCGCCTGAGATAAAAGGCTAAAACCTCCAAGTCTTCGGAGCCGAAAAAAGACCACGAAGACTGCGACTACAACAGCCAAGGCTACGACCAAGGCGACCAAGGCCATGACTACTGCTGCCAAAACTTCGAGTAAGAAAGCTGAGCTTGGGCCATCCTCGATTCATCCTGCAAAGCAAACCTCCCGTCGCGGCTCCTCATCCACAACAGCCAAAATTACCACCTCTCTCTCGACAGCTAGCCCAGCGCCAACCCAGACATCAGCCCCAGACCCTCCCAACGGAGACAAACCTCCCAACGCAACCGCCCTTCGACCCGAGCCTCGATTTGGCCGTTCTAGCACCAACACCCCCTCCCCCTCCCCCCCCTGTGCGACAGCACCTTTCCTACCGGGACAGCAATGACGACGACCCGCTCCTCCTCTACAGCGAGCTCCTCCCCTACACTGACCTCCCCCCTTCGGACCAATAACGACGCAACCTTCCAAGGCTTCAGCGGCCAGTCCGACTTCCATGAACCACCCCAGATCAGGCGCAGTCTCCCTTCCCTGGGTCTGCTCAGTGGCCAGTACTCCGTTTGCTTTGAGGTTCCAGAGGGGTTTGCTTTGCTTACGATCAAACGATAACTACTTTATCCTGATTCTAGACAGCTCCGTACTCTGAGGGGGCAAGTTTTGCAATCAGCCTGCTGCGCGGAATGCTGCTGCTTCAGGAGCAGCCGTGGCACTCGTCGGAGCAGCACATTCCGTTTGACTAGCGAGCGAGGGATTTGCTTCATGGTATCCTTCAGGATGAGGCGAACGACGGAAGTTATGCGTAGTTTGTGGGATGTGGGAAGGTGAGGGAGGTTGTTTATGTAGGAGGAGGGGCCGTTTCGAATTGAAGCGGAACGGTTGCCGGGCCAATGGATTAGCAGTGAGCTTGGGGCTGCAGAGGCGAGGAGGGAGTAGGATAGGTTGGTGAAGGAGCGCTGGAGGTAATAAGCTGGTGTTTTTCAGGGAGTGTAAGGGTTATGATTGATTGAGCGAGACCGTTAAGATACTTACGGGCAGAGAAAGATCTTTGGACTAGATTTGGACTCGGCTGAGTGTTCGGATGAGTTGATGGAAGGCTTGAGCTGTTGAGATATGAGGTACGTAGTCCAGTCTTAATATTGTCCGGAATTATGACTGTCGCTTACTTGTTTCCTCGACCATCGGCCTGAGCATTCCATTACCTGCTTTGATGTTATGTCGCTTCAAACAGAGTCACATAAATCTCAACGAAGCATCTATCGATCCATTTACAATTGTCCCGAATGGGGATCTATATCAGGATTCATAGTAAGTCCCAAATTGGTAGTCTCTCCTGATAACCGCGCTATTAAGTGGTCCCGATTTCCAGTTACTAAGAGTTCTGAACGGTTGGGAAATTACTAGTTTCTTCATTTCAATCCTTTTCTCTGAGTGGTTAAGGCAAGCTGGTATGCAATCGGCATCTCGTTTGCTCCCGACGACTTCTTCCCTTCGATGGAGAAATGGTTATCATTGTTTGACCTGGCCATATCTGTAGAGGTTAAACCCGACTGCTCCTGAACCGGTGTCTCTTTTCAGATATAAACCAAAATATAACGACATACCTTGATTGGCTGAGACCTTGGTTCGGTCTGTTTAATATTTAATATATCCGCCAGCATATTGTATAGGCACTCAATATTTGGCAAGAACTTCGGGGAGTCGATCATCTTCACACTTACCGACCAGTTGCCGCAACTAGCTCTGTGATAAACTTTGCTGAAGCCTTCGTATCATTCTAGTTGCCCAAGGACCGGATAAATCATATTAGGTTCAAATCCGCAAGAGACTCAGAGTGGGTAGTATACAAAGCTAGAAGAACTGGGTAGGGTCTCCTCATACATACCAGTGATCAAACTGTCCAAAGATGAGTGGCATTTGGGAGGTGTAGTCACCAGAGCACAGAGCACAGCTATTCTCGAAGTCTCACGCACTCATCTGCACAATGTTTGTCAACACATTTCTGCGCAGATCTTGCCAAGCATTTTCATGATATCTCAAGCCTTACATGTATACAGCTAGTCGCATAGCTGTCGCGCTCTGTGTTCCTTAGGGCTTGCCCCGCCTCAAAAGTGATCCAAGCTTTCGTTGATCACATTCCAACTGGCATCACTGCTCCCTCCCCCCCCCGGCATGCAGCCAATTCCTTTCTAGATGAATTTTTCCACTCCTACAAACTTTTCACCCTCTACCGACATTTCTTTCACACCAAGTAGTTCTTCAGACAGAACAGCCAAAACAGCACTCTTTCACATTTTTCTCTCCAGAACTACCAACACAACTCTTTTCACAGCTTTTTTGCTCACTGCAATCTCAAACATCAAATGGCGTCAACTCCTGTTATCAACAATGCAGGCCGCGTTCAAAAGCCCAAGCGCAAGAGGCCTGCCACCACCAAAGTAATCCTCGACACCCCCATCATTAAAGTGATCCGCCCGGGTTTCTGGAGCCCAAGGGCATTCTACGCCAACAGAGACCACCACCTTGAGCTGCCCTCTTACAAAGTCCCAGTTGAGACTGGGCACATTGATCTCATCATGGACATTCTGACTCGCGAGAAGAAGGCCGAGTCCAAGGAGTCGAAGGAGTCAAAGTAATATTTCTGATCTTTCCACCAGTCAGATGGTTTCTCTCACATTTAGTTCAAAAAAGCACAGTGTAAGTCGCTCCGGTCCCAGAGTCTCACTTTGCTCTCAAGCTGGGATGCCGCTAACACTTCATTCTTAACACAGAACGTCTGCGATCTCTGCTCATGACCATCGACCAATTTGTTCAGCTCATAATTAGTACAATCGTTTCACAAAAACTTTCACATCGAGCGGTACAAATATTGGAGGAAGCTGATTTTGCTGGAGCTCATGGAGCTGGCTTGTGCCAAGAGGGTCTTAAAAGAGGTTGCTCAGTGACGTCATCGAATCGACAGAAATAAGGGACTTAGGGTTCCCACATTCCAACTGTAAGGACTGCCGTCGGCATACATTTCCTTTGTCATAGATCTCTTAGTTCAAAGATACCCACAGAAAAAGAACATGAATATATATCTCATTCACACGCTCACTACAGCTTTCTTCTGCTCTCCACATTGTGGCAGCAGGCAGCTTGTAGCCGCATGATGGTTTAGGTGGTAATGGAATGACAACCCTAACCCTTATTCTAACCTTTCATATTTCCCCCGTGAGCCGTCCCAGTCCCACTGTTTTGCGTCAGCGCTACCCCGCAACGAGCCCCTGAGTGCCTGTGGCAGGTCGCCTGGACCCCGCCATGTTGGGCTCCATCAGCAAGAGCCGAGAGCTGCCCCCTAATCAAACAACATACGATGCCAGCCTCACCGACATCTTGCAACATCAACACTTGAGCCGAGGCAGCTGGATTTCTGCTTGAGTTCTGTCCAATTCTAGACACATACAACAAGTCTGAACTGCCATGTCGATCGAGATTGAAAAGATCTTGGCCGCGGCCCCGGCTACAACGCGCGGGCAGCCCACCCAACTGTCGTGCGATCCCAAGGGCCAGCGTATCGCTTATGCTGTAAGTACCTTGAATCTGATAGATCCAAGACTTCTGTTAGGAAGATATGAGCATCAGACTGACCCCCGCAGTCCGGCAAGTCCATCTTCCTGCGCAACATCGACGACCCGTCTATCTGCAAGCAATACACTGGGCACACGGCGACAACGACAGTAGCCAAGTTCTCGCCGTCCGGCTTCTGGGTCGCGTCCGGCGATGTGTCCGGCAAGGTCCGCGTGTGGGATGCCGTCGAGGCAGTCAACACCAAGGGCGAGTACGCTATCATCTCGGGCCGTATCAACGATTTGGCCTGGGATGGAGACAGCCAGCGCATCATTGCTGTCGGCGATGGTCGCGAGCGCTTCGGCCACTGCATTACCTACGACTCCGGGAACAGTGTGGGCGAGGTTAGCGGACATAGCAAGGTGGTCAATGCAGTTGCTATCCGGCAGCAGAGGCCGCTGCGTGCCGCGACGGTTTCGGATGATGCTACCATGTGCTTCCTTCACGGTGCGCCGTTCAAGTTTGCGAACAAGGCCGCTGGCTTGCACCGCGGCTTCGTGATGGGTACTGCCTTCAGCCCAGACGGCTCGAAGCTGGTCACTGTCGGCCAGGACCGTCGGATCCAGCTGTACGATGGCAAGACGGGCGAGCCGACCCGCCAGATCGGCGAGGGCGTGCACACCGGCAGTATCTTTGCCGTCAGCTGGGCTTCCGACTCGAAGCGCTTCGTAACTGCCAGCGCCGACCAGACCGTGCGCGTATGGGACGCCGAATCAGGCGAGAACACCGCAACTTGGCGCATTGGCGGCGACGAAGTCAACGTCTCCTACCAACAAGTCGGCGTCGTCTGGCCTCCAGGCCGCTCCGACGGGCTGATCATCAGCCTGAGCCTGAACGGCGACCTGAACTATCTCGTCGAGGGCAAAGACCAACCCATCCGCATCGTCCAAGGCCACAACAAGAGCGCAACCTGCCTAACCGTTGCCTCCTCCACCGGCGGCAACACCCTTTTCACAGGCAGCTTCGACGGTAAGATCTGCGCCTGGGACGTCCCCTCTGGCACCGCCTCCGCCGTCGACGGCCAGTCCCACTCCAATCAAGTCGCGCAATTCGCCTCGCCCCCCGGAGGCAAGACCTACTCCGTCGGTTGGGACGACACGCTCCGCACAATTGACGAATCCACCACCTCCTTTATCGGCACTCCCCTTTCTCTAGGTGCCCAGCCCAAGGGTATCTCCGCCAGCACATCCACACACCTTTTCCTCGCGCTCAGTGACTCCCTCTCTGTCTACATTCTCACCTCCGGCACCCCATCCTTGCTAACGTCCCTCCCCCTGTCCCAACCCCCATCCGCCATCGCCGCCCACGACTCTCTCATCGCCCTCGGCTCGTCCTTAAACAACACCCTGCAGATTTACACCCTCTCCGGCAGCTCCTTGTCCTTGACAACCACCCTGACGAACTCCACAACCCCCATCTCGTCCCTCTCCTTCTCTCCGTCAGGCACCCACCTAGCAGCCGGCAACGCCGGCGGGAAAATCCTCGTCTTTTCCACCTCCGACTGGAGCGTCGCGACCGACCGATGGACGGCACACACCGCACGAGTGGTTGCGTTGGCGTGGAATGCGGAGGGCAAACATGTGGTGAGTGGAGGGTTGGATACCAATTTACATGTGTGGAGTCTGGAGAAGCCGGGGGCGCGATGGAAGGCGGCGAATGCGCATAAGGAGGGGATATTTGGGGTTGGGTGGGTGGGAGACGATAGGGTGGTGAGTGTCGGGGGTGATGCGGCGGTGAAGGTTTGGAAGGTCGTCTTAAATAAGTAAGTGCTTATAAGGATTCATGTGGTCTGGGGGTAGATAAAGAGCAACGTGGGCATAGCGAAGGTGGTTATTTGTTGGTATGGGTTTGATGGGTAATGGGATTAACGGGGCAACTAGGTAGTTAGGTAGTACCTTTCAATGTATACGACAGCAATCCTTTTAATTTATGGAATAGAGTTGACCATAAAGGATAAGCGTCGGCGGCCGAAAACTGATCCCTTCGTTCCACACTGTTCGAGATACCGTTTACAAGCGGAGTCAAACAGAATAAATCAACGGAAGATACTTGATCCAACCCAAACCATCGATAAGGTTAAAGTAACAGCTGAGGACCTCCTTGTAGTTCGGCACTCGCCGTGTGGGGCCGTTCAAAAAATATCCTTTGCAACCCAAAGGCTTGAATTAATCTTCACGTAACGCTAATTCAGCGGGATTTGGGTTCAGGCTGGGTTCTTCAAAGGGGCTCCGGTGGGATTAAGTTCACATCCAACTCCTTCAGCACCCTGGGAACCTGAAATTAGTAAGCCTTACTGTTGCAATCACGGTAGAACAAGAAAAGCAACGTGAAGCCGACCCTCGAGACTGACCGTTGGGAGCGAGGAAGCCATAGGATGTTAACCTCAATTCACTGTGTATGTGGATGCTAAACATTTAAGTTGCAGTGATAGTCTTTACTACCTTTACTGTCCCCTTCCAGATGCCCTATGACTTAGAATTTCACTGGCAAAACACACAACTGTTTGCAAAAGCAAGATTTTTTGCCTGCGTAATCCGAACATACTTCTCTTCACCAAACTGTCTATATTTTGCTTCCAGTTTAACAGGGTACAGCCGGAACTCCGTCACACATGTGAACTTGTTTAAAGACCTAGAAGAGGGATTACGTTTATTTTTCCCTGGCTGTCAACTAGCCAGTTTTTGTTATGCTGCGTTATGGACAAAAAAAGGTATGAAAAGGCCTAACTTGCAAGTCAGAAAAGCATAAAGGACGTTGGCCAATCAGGAAACAGTCACATATGCCCCGTTGATAATCACCCGTCCAAGAACAGCCAGCCCCTTCCAGACATGCGTGGGTTGTGGCAGGTTAACAAATCCCCCTCGGCGCGCTGGGCGTTGGCAAAGAGGAGATCTAACATAAATGGAAAACAAGACAAAATCTCAGTTTCAACACGAATAGAATGCAAGAAGGTTTTTGAGGACGATACAACGAGGAGGCCATCCAGAAGAGTGTCTGATGTATGCCCAACCAACTTGACACGATGACAGTGCGGGCTCAGGCTGAGTCGTAGTCTCAGCTTCCTTCACAACCGCGGCAGAGTTCTTGTGCTATGATTCGCGATAGTAATCGCATCACTATAAGTTGGAATGGTTCAAACGATTCCGAAACGGAGCGTACCTTGGTGCTTGCTATTGAAGTGACTTAACCACAGCGATTTGCCTCTTTTCCTTAGGCTTGGCGTCCCCCCCCTCCCGAACCTCTCTCGATCCAGCCATTAGTGGGCAGGCAGACTTTCGTAGGTTGCCAGCTTATGCGACTTAGTGACATTCATCTATCCACGCAGTACCCTTCCCCTACTTTATTTACAACATCAAGTTCTAGAGCCTAAAAGTAACGTTGTGACACAGGACTTACAAGCCGGGCCTCGAACAGGCACAATCTCTCCGACATAACGAGAAATGCGGCCTTTCGAAGAGTCTGTCAAGGAGCCTTGTGATGGGTATTGGACGGCAAGCCAAGCCAAACATATTTATGGAGTCTGCAGCTCCAGCTCTGTGTTGATGCGTCTATCGCGAATCAGAGCACATGAACTCTGCCGCGGGTGTGAAGCATGCTGAGCCTACGAGTTAGCCTGACCTCGCACATGTCATCATGTCAGGTTAACTGGGCATACATCAGATGCTTTTCTGAACGGCCTTCTGGCTATATTATCCCCAAAAGCCTTACAGAGTCTGCGGTCAAAAAAACAAATACCTGAAAGGAGCTTCGGCTGACAAACCTGCAGGGAGCCTGAACGTCAGGAAGCATCACCAAGAACCTTACCAAATCTTGTCAGCTCTTTCGAAGATATTCCAGAAAATAATCTAGTATTCAAGTTATCTTGAAGAAACCTTACCTGGTCTCCATAGAAATGTGCCTCTATGACTAGAGTGAGAACCTCCAGGAAATTCATTACTTACAGCCAACGGCTCCCCGTTTATGTCCTGTTGATCGCTTTGCTTGAGTGTTACTAATGTAATACATATATCATCAACACTGCTGAAGTGAACCACGCGTCTAATATTTACGAGACATGGTAGTGCTTATCAATAGGGTTCTGAACACGATATATCAACCCAGTGATATATGGAACAAGGACCCCAGACGTTTGGTCTTCTTGTTCTGTCAGCACTACCTAAAGGCAGTGTTATCCTCGTTTTTGCTTACGGTTAAATGATACGTATTTCGGCTTTTTTGTCGCTTTGTTGACTAAGACACACACTACATAACAGTTCTTTGACTTATCCATACCGTAGATGTCCTCAAAAGAAGGGCGCATAAAGCGGCAGAAGGCAGCACGGTCGGTGAATTGAGGCCAGTGTCCTGCTTTCACTGTCTGAATGCATCCCTCAAATGCATATTCTTGTTTGTAATTAGTATGAAGCATCCAAAACTCAAATGTCCAGAAAGTAATGGAAAGGTTTATACCAAACTAAGCTCTAAAACTTACGGTCAACCATGTGCTGAAGCGCGCAGCTTCAGCGGCAGCATTTCCCTTTTCAATAATTGGCTTTTTGTTTTAGCAATTAAGGGAACTCGATCACCATGGCTCTGGCTTTCCGGTCGGAACTGGGAAGTTGGATAAAAAAAGAATTTCGTACAGACCCCAGATCTTGTATCTGTCGAGGAAATGTGCTAGTGGCAGTGAAGAACTTCCAACTTTGCTCAAGAAGATGTCCTCGACCTCAACGGATAGCTATGGCATTGGACAAAGCCCATTGACAAATAGGACCAATGGCGATAGATATTGTTCGCCGAGCTGAGGAAGCAGTGCTCGGACATCACCTTCATAGCGAATGGCCTTTCCGATGTCGTTGTGATGAAGTTTGTAATGGTACCTAATTCTCCAGCAGCGGAGAACTCATGGTTCTCGAGATCTAGGGACACCTGCTTGAAGCCAAGGCACAAGGCAGTAACCACGAGGTCATATAATTGGTTCATTTGGATAGGCACATTGAAGGAAGCAGGTATAATATCGGCATCGAAATGCTTCCGTACCAAAATTCGGCATCGAAAACTCCCAATGCGATAAGCACCTGAGCTCGAGAAGCACGCGGTCAGTAGATAGGACGAGGAAGGACAAATAGTTTGTAACCTAGTAAATAGAGCTGTTCGGAAATACTGAGCCGGAGAAATGGGACTTTGCGGCCTTCATCATCTGCCATTTTTTCAATACGATATCTAAGCGGAATATAAAGGAGGAGATTAGTTTACGTATAGTGTGATGATTTTTCTTCGAATAAAGGATCTCTGCTTATAGATTTCTAACGAAGAACAATGCATACTGATAGTACTTACGAAACGTAGAATAGGAAATCGTGTGTCTCGTCTTCAGGGAACCGAATGAAGCGCACTATTCCCCGCTTCTGATTAAAGCTGCTTATCTTTACAGGCAAGTCCGAATCAACTCTAACTTCGCTCATCATGGCCCTGGACATAGCGGATATGAGAGATCCAATGCAGGGTAATGGTCGGAAAGCCGCCAGAATGGCCAATTCCATCCGAATTTTGTATACCTCGCGGACGAGCTGTTTGCCTCGTAGGTATATTTTCCATGAGCAGGACTTGAAGTCGAGTATTGCATCAGAACCTGGGCGAATGCAATAGCGAAGGCTGCTCCTGAGACGATAAGAGCCGCGACGGCAACCCGATATTCACTTGAATCGTCTTCGCTAGAGGGCAAGGTAGCTTTCGTGTCGTTCAGCATTTTTGTTGTTCGAGCCGTTTCCCAAGAACAGTAAGGAGAAGTGTTAATCAAGAGCTGCGTCAAGCTTTGTCTAACCCGACTTACAACATCAGAAATCCTCTCTAGTGTCGCAGACTGTCATTAGTCATGATGAATTCCTGTATACCTCAGTCACTTGCTCATCACTCAGAAGTGTCTAAGCCACGTGATTGGCTGAAGGCTTGCAGCCCTGCAGTTGGTCGCTAGACATCAATGTGGGGAATAATGTCAACTCTTCCATTCCATTGCGCCTGTTGCTGTTGATGACCACTCAAATTCTCTATAATGCTATGAGAATAGTACATGATGGGCCTCAAACAGCAACCATCTCTCCGACATGAAGAGTTATGCGGCCTTTCGGAGGGCCCGGCGAGGAGCCTTGAGGTGGGGATTGGCGGCAAGCGAAGCCAACAGGTGGTACGGGGGTCTGCAGCTCCAGCACTGTGTGTTGATGCGCTGTGTGTCATGATCAATCCGTTAATGATCTTTGCTTATTCGCTTGTGGTATTTCTGTAGTTACGAGAATTGTATATTCGTCGCTCTCTCCCATCGACTGAGAGTTCTTTGATGTACCGCAAAGGGTATCTCACTGTTCATGCACCGAATCAACATTAGGCAGACTGTTACATAACGCCAAACAAAATATTCCTTATCCGAGTCGTGCTCCTTGCTAAATGAATTCCTGTTCCCTATTTCCAGATTCCTCATCGAGAAAACTGACCCCGTTAAACTCCTCTCCCAGTCAAATCCTTATCTTAAAGTTGATATCGCAGGGTATGAAGAAAAATCAGTCGAACCTTGTCCTCAGGCCCTAACGCCACTTGGCAAATGCATGTGAGGGTTCCGAGACTGGTCAAGTTCAAGTATAAATCAAAAATCCTTGTCCAACAATCCAGGTCGCTAAGAGGGGGCTGAGGACAAGTGATAAGAGGGTGGTGTCAAGGACAAATAAAAACGTGGCATAAGACGCTAAGACTGAGGTCGACAAAAATAAGACGGTCTTGGTGTTTAAAGGTGATTGGGTCGCTGAGACGAGCTGTAGTGAGCAGGGAGAATTGGTTTGGGGGGGGGGTAAGTGCGCAATGCCGAGCCACGTAGAATGACTTCAAGGATATAATCTTGAGTAAGGAGAATCCAGAGTTTGGAGGTGGGAAGTTGTGATATTGGCCAAGCTGACAAAGGTCTTGCCGAAAATCGAAAATGTCATAAGTAATATGTTGAGATCAACAGCAGTGGCGCGAAATCCGAGAATGAAACTAAGTCGGCAGGGATCGGAAAGGTTCTGCGTAATAGCTCCCAAACAAAAGGTACTCCGTGCCGAACATCCAATATCATTCCATCTTAAGTTGAGTGAAGTCGACAACCGTCCTCCGGAGCATAAGAAACCTTCCCGTGAGAATTCTCGCGCTTCACGCATCACGTCAAGTATATCAACTTTCTCATCAGTCAACCCGCCGCGACTAGTTATCATCCTTACGCACCACCAGCTGCAGCACATCATCGTCTCCATCCTCCTCATCATTATCCTCCTCTTCCTCATCCCGAACAAAGTAATCCCCCTGCTCGCTCTCAGCCAAGCCTGGAAACCTCCATACACCATCCCAGCTAGCGAACAGAAGCGACCTCTCACGTCGAATGCTAGACGAAATGCTGCTTGTGCGGGAAATGCTACCACCAGCCGTGGGGTTATTGATGGCATTAACGAGGTCTGTGACATTGTGAATCTCAATGAGGGGTCTAGCTGCAAGATGTCCTTCGTCATGATTGCTGTGGACAGAGCCATGGTGAGAGTGAGAATAACCAGCTTCACTCATATTGCTCAGGCTCGAGTTGGCGCTATGGTTGAACCAGGCGGGGATATCGTGGGGGGAGAGGAAATGCGTGCCCTTCACGGCATCAGTGCCGTTCGAAGGCATGATCCTGTCGCTTGGGATGGTTGGAAGTTCATGTGGGAAGAGAAAGTGTGTGCTCTTGACACCGTCACTGCTAACTGAAGAAGTGGACTTGTGGTGTTTCGGAATGGTTTCGAGTTCATGAGGGAAGAGAGAATCAGACATCTCCCAGTCGGGGTGGGCCATGATCCTGCTGGGAATGGCGATGGGTCGGACAATCTTTTCATTGTCCTTTCCGGCGCCGACCAGGCTCTGAGTATCGTAACCCTTATTGGCAATGCTAACCACGTTGTCATTGTCATTAGCCTTGACCACAGGCCGTTCATGAGGGAATAAGCAACTGGTGACCTTCCAGTCGGGGTCGACCCATTCGACACCATGTTTGGTGACAACTTCATCATCGACATCATGGCTGCTTACACTAACGTTGGCATCATTAAGAGCCGCCGGGGGCAGCTCGTGAAGGAAGGGACCATTGGTGACTTTCCGCTCAGGATGATTGCCCTTCTTGCTGCCAAACAAGCGACCACGATGTCTAGAGCCAGTGGCACTGTACTTCTCAGCAGCCTCAAAGTTGACCTTGTCCTGGCTGCCAGTAAGATGGTGCATGGGAAGCCTGCAGATGGGTGCAATTGCCTTGCCATTGCGACTGGCCTTGTGCTCATCATGAACATCCTTGGTATCGGCCGGCCCATCGCAGCAAGAAAAAGAAGGAGTGCGGGAGCGAGAGGCAGTGTCGTCGTTCTACTCGACCTGCATCCGCGCTATGTCCTCCTCTTCACCCTTATGCTTGGGAGCAGCAATCCGCACAGCTGCTTGATTGAGCGTGGCTAGGTGCCTCTGTTTGCGCAGCTCGTCTGGATAGCAGGTTAGCACCATCCAGTCGAAAAACGTGACGCGGTTCTCGGGCAGGACGGGAAGCGTCGGCGGAGCGTAAGGTGGAAGTCGGTCCAACATGCCTTCGTTCACCAGCTGCGCAATTTTGGCGAGGGCCTCGTCAAGGTGTCTACACTAATTAGCACAGAACATAAGATCCCAAAGAGTAAGGCTTACCCGATGCGACCATGGACAGCCAGCTTCCTGCGTGCGAGGTCCTCGGCCAATTCCAGCTGATGGTTGTCCATCAGCGTCGGATTGGCGACAACAACCAGCGGCGCGCCGACTCGCTGGACCTCCAAAACGGTACCTGTGCCTTGAAAGTCATCAGCCGCACGTTCTCGTCATGCTTCGTACCCAACCTACGAAATTCGAATCGCTTACCTGCATGGGAGATCACGCATCCGGCCAAGCGCACACCCTCCTCCCCGCGGCAGGCCACCAAAAAGGGCGTAATGTCGTCAACCAGGTCAAATGCCGACACCTCGATCCCCTGGCGGTCCTTGTCCGCCAGGGCAGCAACCCTCGCACGGAAGTGCGCCAGGTCTGGCCCGCACTGCACGTCCAGCCGGCCATAGCCCTGCTCGGCTAGGGCGCGCAGGAAACCGGGAGTGCTGACCTCGTCGAGGAGGTCGCGGAAGCCAGCCGTGGCCCCCACCGTCACAAAGCAGCAGCGGGGAGGAAGTGAGAGGGCCGGGTGTTGGTCGGTCGAGTCTGTGGTTGGGGCATTTGGGTTAGCAAGCTTGCGGCGCCTAGGCTTTGGGTCAACTGATTGCTAAACGTACTACAGGCACTCATTTCGTGCTGGTGCTGCTGGTACTGCTGGTATTGCCGGTGAAAAATTGGCCAGCGAAAAGGGCACAAGTAGAACTCTCTGGAAACGTTTGGGGGGGGGGGGGGGAAAGGGATGGGAAACACGTTCAAATGTGACGAGAGCAGTGTCGGATAAGTGAGTGACGACATTTAGTGCTTATCTCTTATCGGGATGATCCACTAAAATGCCCAACATTTTACATGACCTTTAAAATTACTGGCCTCAGGCGACCACTGCCCAACACCTGCTGGTCAGGAAAAAGGGTACCAATTCCTATCTCCCAAACTTTCAGTGATCTCAACTATCCAGGTGCATTTTAGAAAGCCTAGACGTAGATGGGTTCCTCTTCTTGGTTCTCTGACTATGACTTTCAATAATGCTGACAGCCATGCTCTGGGCTTCTATAGAAAGCTCTTTATAAGTCTTCTACGTATAGCAAGGTTAGCTATACTGCATAGAGAGGTCTTGTACTTATAGCCTATCTAGTAATTAGAACTAAAGTTTTGCAAAGTCCTCTCGGCCCAACTTCGAGGGCAAGCAATACACACCATTCTTCCCCAACCTCTCTCTTCCTAGTACACACTTCTTAAGCCATCAGCACTACAACTATACATCGCATGCAAAAACTGACATCACCGTTAGAATCACTCCGATTAGCTCTATCATTCAATGCTAGAAGTTGCTTATAGCTATAAACAACTATAGAAACCCAGTCTTGTCGTGGCGATAGGTTTCAGCGAAAGTGTCAGAGTCGGGCACGCACCAAGAAAGCAAAGATAGAGCAGAGTAGCAAAGGGGAAGAATGTCTGTTGAGCCCTAGCCTATTCTGACCTATGAGTCTCTGGGTCCATTTTTATCCTAGGTCTTCCGTGTGCCTCCTGTTACGATCAACAAGGGCGTCACGCCGGAAAAGCGGATCTGGGAACAAACAACCAATAAGAAATACAGCTCATGCGGCCCCGAAAGGTCGTCAGGCCAAGAATCACTGTCGAAGAGGTCGTCAATCCAAGAGATATTGACGAGGAACTGAGAGACCCTTAAGAAACAAAGAAAGGCTTGAGTACATGAGGTAGATAGATTCCTCGTAGTTAAAGGAGAACGAAGAGTTCCTATGTCAGTGATACAGATGCCCAAACCAACTGGTAACCGCAGAGCTTCTGAATCTATGTAAGAGCTCTTGTCTCTCAGATCCATAAGCCCTTAGCCCAAACCCGAACCCATCTTAGAAAGGCTTGCTGGATCGTCACACCTTCTTTCCATCACGTAAGCCAATCTTTTATAGCCTCCTCTCTCCGTTTGTCTTCCGATCGTCAGCCCAGCCTATGCGCGCCGAGCATCAGCCTAGCCGAGTCCGAGCAGTCGGGGACCACCTATGTTCTGTCGTCATTGACAAAACTCCCCGCCTTCCGGGCTCCGATCCTTGGGAGCCTTGTGTCGAGAACCCCTCGCTGCCGGACACTCAAAGCACCCCCGGGACCCTTATCCTCTCAGGGAAGACCCCGAGACCGGGCACTCGGGGCGCTTGGCTTATTCCCGAGGGCCAGCGGCATCACGTGACCTCCCGGGCCCGACTCCCAAGTTCTCACGCTTTCCTTGCATTCCCTTGGTCATTTCAGACCTGCTCGTGCTGCGCCCTCATTGGTCTTTTGTGACTAGGCGCGCTTTGTCCTCGAAAGATATAAGCTGTACTATCGTTCTCCTACCTCCTTCCACTCTTGCTCTATCGTGTAAGCACCCCGCCTTGTATCGCCGTTACGCTTGGTGATGGTCCGCTAAGTCCTAGTGTTTCATCTCATCGCTGTATATATCGATGTAGTGGGTTTTAAGATGTTGCCTTGCGAGCGCTGCGAGTCCCGCGAGTTGGAGTGTCGTACCACGCCAGATCATCCTCGCCGTAGTAACTGCGTTCGCGCCGGTTGTTCTCGCAGGAAGAACGAGTCATTTTCGGCTCGTAGGTGGACGGTATGACATCCTCCCTTAGCTCCAGCTACCGTACTTACCTCCTAGTGGAGAAGGTGATGCAGGAAAGCCACCGTTTGAAACAGGAGGAAGATGTGCGAGCGAAGTTTGTTAGAGTTACAGACTAGTTTATCGGAACAGTTGGCCAAGCTTCGTCGATGGCGTCAGTAAAAACAGTTTCTTTTTTTCTTTTCTTTTTTTTTGAAGAACGAAGGCGCTCGTTAAGCGGCTCGAGGTATCTCATTGTTAGAAGAGTCGGAGGAGGAGGATCACAAGAAGCAGGAACAACAGTAGTCCCAGGTGTAGTCAATAGCCGCGACCTAAGGGGAGTCGTCACTGGACTCGTTCTTGTACGGCGCCGGAGTGCCGAGGTGAGTCTCGAGAGGAAGGACATCAACTTCATTAAAGAGGGCTATATTTTTGAAAAAGCGTCACTAAAGGTCGAGCCCCTTGGTAGTAATTACGTGTTTCAAGGTAACGTATTGATGAACAATTTAATAGGGCTGTTTTACCCAACGCTCTTAGGGAATGTTAGGCCTTACACATGGGATTAGTTACCTACCTAACTAAATGGAATGATGCTGAACAAAACAGTCCGTTGGCATGACGATTCCACAACCTCCTGGAATGGGTTCGAAGGTAGTTGCCAGATTGCAGACCCTGAGGGACTGGGGGTCCTCACCCAGTAGTGGATGTGATTTAACTGCGGTCACCGGTTGTTGGTTGACAACTGTTTCTATTGCTGACTTGACTGAGGAGATCATCATCAGGGTCTCTGGATGGACGATTCTATATACAAATTTATACTCAGGTCAATGGTATGCCTCTTGTGGAGTTGAAGTCCTGCCAAGCATTTATATTACCATTTTCACGATTATCGCGATGGTGATGGCGGTAATACGCTTCATTCCTGATTGAATGCCTTGCCTAACCTCCAATTGCCCCACTCTTGGCCTTGGCAAGTGTTTCCCATTGGTTGCGTTTCAGCTCCACTTTGAAACGACTGTTGGTTCACATCCCATCCAGATCGCAAACACTTGGATGTGAGCAACCCGAAACCCCTAGCTCAGCCGGCACGGCCATTCTCGATGAGATCGAGGCCTCTAGTGACTAATAGGGGAACTAAGGCTACGTTGCATAGTTCTCCTTAGCTGTATTTTAGGGATTTGCAAGCAAGAAGAGAAATACTGATGACGGATCCGTATGCGCGGGGCCAGTTGCGCAGCCATACTGGCTCCCGACTCTGCCACTCAGAGTTTTCTCTGCCTGATGGTGACACAGTACAATACAACCCCGGTTTGTTAGTTAGCGCGGTACTTGCTGCACGCCACAACCAACCATAGTAAGAACGTCAACCAGGGTATGAAGCCAATGGGATTCACAGCTCAGAGCGCCAGTCTCGGAGGTGCTCAGGAGGCTCGGAGCGGATGTCCAAAAGTTTCGGGATATGCGGTATGGCTGTTGCACATCTCTGATGGATTAGATATCTACCATACAATCAACCTTAGCCGAAGAAGTTGAGCGGGTCTCAAAATGTGAGAGGAGGAGTGAGGAAATCCCAGACTTTTTCTTCCTCGAATGGGATGTTGCTTGCAGAAAAGTGTCTCACTAAACAAGAAAACTAGGGTTGTATTTATAGAAGCCGAACGGTGACCAGGCCGCAGCTGATATGTACTCGAGAAGTTCCAGAAATCTTCTCCTAAGACACACTACCTAAACAAAACCATAACTAGCAAAACTGATGGTATCATTGACGTGAAGGTTCCCGATGTCGACCGATCTTACATCCCCTCCGCGTGGACCCCCTTGTGATGAGTGCCGTATCCTCTGGGCCGAGTCCAAACAACATAAGGAACAGCAACCGGCCATCCCCGTTCAAGGCAGCAATGACATACCCTCTCTGTGGGAAACGAATAAACACACAGATCAGGCTTTCAACTCTACACCAGACAAAGACATAGTACCAGCTCTCTGTGATAGGTGGTTGGAGCCGCTGCCGTTCAATAATCCATTCAATCAACGCTTTTCCAAGTTTGCAGGGTGGATACCTGGAGAGGAACTCATCCTAAAGCATTGCTGTTGCTGAGGGTGCCAACTCTGGGAACATATCTTGAAGGCAACTGGGGAAAGACCGAAGATGCTATATGAACCGTCTTATTTTGTGCTTCACCGACCGGGATACTCTCGCTACTTAGTATTATTCGGAAACACCGAGTGGCCTGAGATGCTCCTGCTCTCAGGGATCGAAGGTATGTAACCCACCAGGTCAAGGAGGGAAACAAAGGCAAAATGTATCATGCCAGCTCACAATGAATTGATCAGGTCTGCCCAACCCATCTGCGCTGCATGGGGCGACTCACCATTTAGCGGCTTATTCCACAATCTGGACAAGATCGAGCGCATCGGCCCTGTCATGGTGTCGAAGACATATCACCTACCTGGAAGAACAGCCATCCACGAAGCCGCGCAATTCCCATCCTCCATATTGACCTGGTATCCGTTGCTCAACCGGGCATGGACATTTCAAGAGCAAATGCTCTCTCCACGATTGCTCTATTTCACCAGACATGAGATAGTGTGGGAATGCATGGAGGGAGGTCGCAAGTGCGAGTGCTGTCCAAGCTGGAACGAGGACTATCCGGAGACATTCATGTCTGCGAAGATCTAGTTTGCAAGGACCATTTTCGCCGAAGCGCCACCCAACACCCTTGCACTAAATGGCAGCGACACCGACTACGATCGCAAACGGCTTATGTCAAGAGTAATGGTCGGCTGGCACAGGATGGTTCAGTATTACTGCACATGCCGACTCACCTTCCAGTCCGATATCCTCCCCGCTATGTCCGGGCTAGCCGACATAATCCAGCGCCGGACTGGGTGGCAGTATCTTGCTGGGCTGTGGCGCGAATGTCTGGTTTACAATCTCTGCTGGTATGTCAACGAGCACTCCCCAAAGCAGCGCCAACGGACTTCATATGCGCCAAGCTGGTCTTGGGCCTCCATCGCAAATGGATACATTGAAATCCTGGGCTTTGTCACAGCCATAGCAGGCTCTTTGGCAAAACCACTCTGGAAACACTTTGTCCACCTCGAGGTTCTCGATGCCCAGTGTGTCCTGGAAGGGCCTTCTGCCACGGGCCCAGTGCAAGCCGGTTTCCTTGAGCTGGAGGGTTTCCTCTGGCCGATATCACGAACCGGATTAGAAGTAGAAGAGACCGTCAAGGATAAGCATGTGGTGATTAAGTGGGACGAGAGCAATCATGAAAAGACGGAGGGCCGGAAGCTTTACTTGATGCCGATACTAACGTGGGACAGTCCTGAACGGGGGGAGATTGTCCACGTGGGACTGGTTTTAACGGATTCTGCATCAAGGTCGGATGATTTGACCCGGGTTGCACTGCTCTGGTTTTATGAAGTTATAGAGAGAGATGAGGAATCAGAATCATCGGCAATGAAGGGAGTGTGGGACTATGCCTTGAAGTGTGAAAAAGTCAAAATTAGAATCGTTTAGATCTAAGACATATATATATGAATATCAGTTCAGCGTTGTAGAGGCCAGGCCAGGCGAGGTGCTACATCGGCCTGTGAGGGGACGTCGCATACGCCTAAGGCGTCTCACAACTAGGGATCCCTTTCCCTTACCCCACGTTACGTGATACATCGGGAGTTTTTGAATGCTGTGAAACGGCATCGAAGACAGCAAGTGTCATGTCCTAGAAGACTAACCATCATCATTTCCATTACCATGCCATATACGCTAGAGGTATCACCAACCGCTGTCCAACACACCTGTCCCGCGAAGACAATTTCTCATCTAAACATATTCCCCCCTCTACCTAATCCCAAAGCACCAACTCCCCAAGCCAAACCAACAACCCCACATCCACGACACAGACCAGCACGAAAACCGTCCACCCCAACACCTTCTCACACATCTCCCAACTCCCTTCCCTCCTTCTCTCCCTCCTCCCCAACAACCCCCTCCCCGACACAACCATCCACTGCGGACCCATCATCAACCCCTGCTGTTGCTCTTCCTCCCATCGTTCCCACTCCTCCCTCCACAGCATGAGACACACGCCCGCGCAGTTAACACATAAGCTTCCCGCTAAAAGGACAGCGGCCACGGCAATGAGGAGTTGCTGCCTTTTCTGCCATGATGCGCTCCCATCCTCATTATCGTCGTTAGCATCATCAAGCCCCTCATCAGCATCCTCCCCAGGCGAAGACGCTGCATAAGGGCCTAACAAAAGAAGCGGTACCACCGCGGCAAGCGCCAACACCCCGGCTAGGGAAAAAGTGAGCATCACCCAGGCGCGGAGGATCCGTCTGCGACAGAGGAAGGGGTCTTCTACTCTTCGCAAAGGATGAGAAGTGTCGTGCGGCGAGATGAGGGAGTCCGAGACAGAGCTAGAGCGCCGGCGTTGGCGCTGGGGATGACGTCGTGGTGAGAATGGCGACGGGAAGTCGTCTTCTGAGGAGGTCGTTGAGGACGCGGAGGATGTGGAAGAGCGCTCCGAGATGAGGGTGTTACTCGCTGAGCGGGTTGAGCCATACCCTTGGGCCTGGGGCTGGGGTTCGTGGGAGTTTTGATGATCGCTTGTTGGAAGGAGGGGACCACGCTCACCGGCACTGTGGTATTCGTATCCGCCAGCGCGACGGCGCGTGAACCAGGAGGTAACGCGCTGGACGGGGTGTACGAAGACAGTGCGTAGGGAGTCGAGACTGGGTAGGGAGAGGGTTGTGTCGGTGGGGTTGACGTAGATGGCGTAGGAGTCATCGTTCTGGTCGCCGTTGACAACGTCGCCAGCCTCGCTGCCGTGGTCGTACTCGTTCCAGTAGGCCGCGGGCTGGGGTTGGGGTTCGGGTTGGGGTTGGGATTGGGATTGGGATAGTTCGGGGCGTGAGTAAGACGCTCGCGTGGTCCTAGAGGCGCTGGTGGATGTCCTAGATAATTGCTGCTGGGCTTGTTGATCCTGTTGCTGTTGTGTGGCGATTTGTTTGCGCCAGTCGGCTGGCATGGCGTTTCTCATGGCTGCGAGCAACTCGTCGCATTGCACTTGTAAGGGATTAAAATCGCGACGAGTAAAGCTCTTAGGATCGGACAGCACTCCATCGCGAAAGCGGCTCCCTAGTGCTGTCGACCCGGTCCACTTGCGATACTTTTTCAGAATTTTGCGAAACGCCATGACCTGCGCAGAAACAAACCGCTTCAGCGACGCGACATCGTTGGCGCAGGACAAAAGTTCCTGTTCGCATCGCGCGAGTCGCTGCACGCGCTTGAGGGATGGTTGCCGCGCAAGGGTTCTGTCGAGAACGGAAGAGATATGAGCTAGCCGCCGAGCGACCTCGTCTGCGGTGCTGGTGACAAACAGATGCACGCGGTCATGTTGCTGGCAGAGCTCAGCATAGAGGTCATTCTCGAACTTGATCAGCGCTGAATCGCGACCGCCGCCTCCGGGGATTGGGACAGGCGTAGCGACGGCAGGGTCGCGGGTTGTGTGCGCTTTGATGTGCTGCTTGAGCGCGTTATAGTCGATGTTATCTGTGATGCAGTTAGCGTAGATCCTACAATTGATAGCGCCAATTGATAGAAGACGTACGAAGCTTCCATCGCGGCACAGAGAGCTGCTCAAACTGCTGGCCGAATTTCATCTCTGATGAAGACTTAAAAAGGGCTAAAAAGTGATCGCTGATGCCGTCTCGGACCCTGGATGCTTGTTGGTTGCTAGTGTTGATATGAATTTTACTGGATCCGACAGTGACGTAGTGCCCGTGATACAAAGGGCGTCGCAATGTTACCGTACCCGAGTCAAGTGACTGCGGTGATGGTGATGATCGGCTTGGATGTATGCTCTGTAAGACAATGTTCTTTCTTGTTTTTTTTTTTTTGGTCTCGAAGCGAAACGATGGCGGGCAGCTCGAGTACAGCGCCGACGTCGGGAGAGGTTCGTCTTATCTAAACCAACGAAGGTAGCACAAGAGAAAGCCGGTGGGCGATGACTGATTGCTGAATCCTTGGTCGCCAGCCAACAGCGGACCAGAGGCAAAGGCGGACAAGGTACAAGTCGCTTGTCGGTGGCAAGGAGCAGGGAGATGGGGCTCCAGGGGTTAGTGTGGATGCAGGGGTGCAGGCACATCCCGCTGCCAAGACTGCACGTCATTCTGTGGTGAGAGACAGCGAGAGGACGATGGATTATGAAAAGAATGCCATATAGAGGCTGAGATCTTCATGTGTTTTATGATTCTTCTGATTCTTATAACCTGAGGCTATCTCACTAGCAGCAATTGGAGGACAGAACTATGCCCCGGGTAGAATGCATCCGGCACAACCTCAACTACTGAGCATCGGCAGGATCTGTGATACTCTCTGCACGTCAAGGGCTCATATCAACCAAATAGCAGTCCGCCTAAGATACCCAGGTACATATCTCCGCGGTCCGTTGTACATTACCGTACTACTGTATGCCATAGAGGACCATCCGGATGCAGTCGCTAATAGGTTCCATGCTTTGACTCGTTTCCCCCGCGTGATGTTGTCTTCGGCTAACAGCTATTCCCGCAGCTTGCTGCATTCAGCAATCTGTCGCGATCTGTGACACTGTGATGCATCTGAGACCCACGTGAAGACAGTGCTGCCTGTCAGTGGACAGCAATCGGCCAGTCACGCGCCGATATACGATATTTGGTGATAAAGAGTCTGCCGTGCCTTCATGATGCTGGGCTGTAAGTCTCACGTTACGAAGCAGATGATACCTAAGATCTGGGAAATGTTGGAAATGCGAGATGGGGGGATCAAGAAACATAGGAGGAGAACAAGTCGCAAGTTTTCACCGACATGCAGCCGTCAAGGCAGTCGCTCGCGTGCAATTGGCTTGAAGGCCGTTGAACCATCCTATGCAACGGAAGATTTAGAGGTATGACAAGACATGCATTTAGCATGTAATCTACTTGAATCGTAATTGGTCTTTAGCCTCGAGACAATGTTCCGAAGAGCGCTCAAGTGGCGATCATGGGAATAGTGGAGAGGATGCTTGGAACTGCTCTCATCGAGAAGCGGACAAGACTACGCTCCTTGAGGGCGGATCGACCGGGAGATATCGGGGGATGATTAACCGGGAAGCGCTGTATTGATTTCAAGTTAAATTGAATCCAAGACAGACGCATAACTGCTTGTGTTGATGTAAAGTCGAAGCTGCAAATAAGCAGACCGAACGATGTATTGATCATCGGGAGCACTGCAGTAGTTGGGTCGAGTTAAGATGGGAGACAGGACACGATTGACATCTGGAGGATGTGATAAAACAGCGGGCTCGATAAGATTATCGATAAGATTCCGCTCCACAGGACCGCTACGATTGGCCAATGCGCTCTTGGCGCCTTCAACTCTGAGTGGGGCATCAGGCCCACCCGAAATTTTTTGGAGAACATCCTGCAAAACCAAACGTCCAGCAACCAAAATTTCGTCCCCAATCCCCAAAGCACCTTCGCCAAACAGAACCATTCCGCAACCATCCACTCAAGAAAGAGCATGCCCGGAGCCCCGAGCACCACATCCTCTTTCACCTCCACATCACACACCCTAAGCGCTCTCCCCTCCATGCCACAGTCCCTGTCGGCATCGGCCGCAGACGGCAGCGGCAGCGGAAGCGACGGCGCTGCCGCCGCCGCCATCACCGCCTTCTTGGATTCGACGGCTCCTGAGAACCGGCACATATTCCTGCGTCCGACACCCCAGCTTCCGGCGGGGTCGCTGGCCCTTTTGAAGGCCGCGCTCGACCCGCTCGCAGCTCAGATCGCGGATCACCAGGCTGCTGGGATCGCCCGTCTGCGCGAGAGTGGTGCTCTCTCGTCGAAGAAGCGAAAGAGGGATGGGAGCGAGAAGGAGAACAAGCCTGCTGCTTTGAAGATTAGGAAGGTGCATGTGGATGGGTTTGAGACCCAGCAGGTTTGGCAGCAGGCGAGGAAGATTATCACTAGTGCACTCGGGGAGGCGCAGGCAGTTTTGGAGGAGTTGAAGGTTAATGGGGAGGTTGAGGAGGAAGAAGGGGAGGATAAGGTTATTGAGTTTGGGGAGGATGGGTTTGAGGTTGGGTCTTCGGATGAGGAGGAGAGCGAGGAGGAGGGCAATGAAGAGGCTGATACCGAGGATTCGGATGGCGAGGGGGCCAGCCTTGGCGATGAGAACGCGATGTTTGATCTCGAGGCTGAGGAGGACTCAGGGAGTGAGGAAGATAAGAGCGACGTGGGCGAGGAGGTTGATGGTGAGGTTGATGGCGAAAAGCACAGCGACCTCGATGGCGAAGAGGAGGGTGAGGAGGGCGAGGAAGACGAGGAAGACGAGGAAGACGATGACGAGAGCGCCGAAGACCTCGTCGAAGACCCCCATGGTCTCAACGACGGCTTCTTCAGCATAGACGAATTCAACAAGCAGACCCAAATGTGGGAAGACCAAGATATGCGCGCCGAGCCTACCGCTGAGCTGGACGATGACTCCGAGGATATCGACTGGCACGCCGACCCCTTCGCCGTCAAGCCCAGCAAGAGGGGCAAAAAGGACGATGGCGACATGGACCTCGATGACGAAGAGGACGAATCTGACGATGAAGCACCGCCGGTCGGCAAGAAGGCTCTGGAGAAGATGCTGGACAAGGACGAGGATGACGAGGGCGGCAACCTCGAGGATGACCTCGCTGACGGTATGGGTATGGATCTCACGGCCAACGACATCTACTACAAGGACTTCTTTGCGCCGCCCCGGAAAAAGAAGAAGCCTGGCAGTAGCAAGAAGAAGCGCGAGCTTGAGCTGGAGACCAAGAGGCCAGACGACGCCGACGTTGAGCGCGCCGAGCAAGACGTCCGTCGCGACTTGTTCGATGATCTCTCTGAACATGAAGACTCGGAGGACGCTCTTTCAGATGCTTCGGCGGGCGATCCTAAGTCTCGGAAGTCAGCCCATGAGCGTCGGCAGGCCAAGATCGCCGAGCAGATCCGCAAGCTGGAGGCCGAGCTGGTCGCCAAGCGTGCTTGGACATTGGCTGGTGAGGCTACGGCTGCTGACCGTCCTGTCAACTCGCTGCTGGGGGAGGATATGGAATTCGACCATGTCGGAAAGCCAGTGCCTGTGGTGACTGAGGAGGTGTCCGAGTCGATCGAGGAGCTCATCAAGCGCCGCATTCTTGCCGGCGAGTTCGACGAGGTGCTCCGGCGGCGTCCCGACATGTTCGGCAACCCGCACGGCGTACGCCGCGGCCTGGTCGATGTGGAGGACACCAAAGCCAAGCAGAGCCTGGCCGAGATCTACGAGGAGGAGGCCGTCAAGAAGGCTAACCCCGATGCCTACGTCAGCGCCGCGGACGAGAAGCTCCGCCGCGACGAGGAAGAGATCAAGCGCATGTGGAAGGAGATCTCAGCCAAGCTCGACGCCCTCAGCAGCTGGCACTACAAGCCGAAGCCGCCGGCGCCGACGCTCACTGTCGTGTCCGACGTGGCCACCGTTGCCATGGAAGATGCTCAGCCGGCTACGGCCCAAGGCGTTGCTGGCGGCGAGACCAGCATGATCGCTCCTCAGGAGGTCTACGCGCCGAGCAAGGACACTGCCGAGAAGGGCGAGGTGGTCACGAAGGCCGGTATTCCCATCGCCAAGCAGGAGATGTCACGCGAGGAGAAGCTGCGCCGGCGGCGCCGCGAGAAGGAACGCATCCGCAAGGCTGGCGGGCTCGATGGCGGCAAGCCGGTCAGCGAAAAGGAGAAGGAGAAGAAGGAGACGGTGGCGCAGCTCAAGAAGAGCGGCGTCAAGGTTATCAATCGCAAGGGCGAGGTTGTTGGGCTCGATGGGAAGAAGGTTGGCGAGAAGAAGGTGCAGAGCAGCGGGGCGTACAAGCTGTGAGGAAGCTGAGGGTTTAGAGGGGGTGGGGTATCTGATGTGGGATTTGGGAATTTGTATTGCTGGGTATTATTATTCTATGTAAACCAGGTGGTGACTATAAAACACTGGATTTGTGCCCATTTTTGATTCTCATCATTTTTCTTCCTTTTCACGACGACGAAGTTAGTGATGCTGATGTGAAGTGGTGAAGTGATGGGAGTAAGCGGTGCAGCGAGTGACTTCATCGTCCCGCTGGTACCAGCTGGCATCAAAGTTCCGACAAGGCCAAAATGTGGGGCCCACCCGTTAAAGAATTGGCCAATCACATCGCGGCAGTTTGATGCCTCAGCTCGTGGGTGGTCCGTGTGTCTTCCCTCTTCTTGCCGGGGTTTCCACCTTTGGGAGGCGAAAAGTGATCGGATAACGGCTTGAGCTCGACGACGACCACCACCCGCCCGGGCGGCTCCATATATCCACGACGACGACGCGCGAAGGGTCGACACTTCCCCGCTCCGTTCCTTTGTCTCCTTTTCTTTTCCCCAAAGACGCTTGAGCGAAGGAAGAAGGATTCAGATTTGCTCAAGATGATCTCGTCGGCGAGGACAGGCGCCTCGCTTATTCTGCGAGGTGAGCTACTTTCCCTTTGCTTTTAAGTCCCTTGCATGTCTTGGATCATGGGCGAGCTACGTCTATCCCTCGCCACTACTGTTGCAGCTCCCTCGCTAGACCTATGCACTATATGTACTGCTCGAGCAGAAGCCGCTGACCTGAGGCTTTATGTGTCTAGCGCGCCCGGCGACCCAACTTATCCCCCTCCGCGCCGCCGCCGCCGCCCACCTCTCTTCCTCCGCTCGCACCCAGGCTGCTGCCACCTCCTCGTCGACCGCCGTCGAGCCCTACCCCGGCTATGAACTACGCAAGTCGCTGCGCAAGGAGGTGCCCCTGCCCAGCCAGGAGGGAACCAAGGGCCTGGTGCAGTATGCCCTGTACGTCTTGGCCCTCTTCCCCGCTACACCTCAGGCTTGAGATATCATTACCAAGGGATTTTGGTGTTGGTCAAGGGGAGAACAGTTGCTGACTGCTGCACTGCAGGACCACACTCGATATCATAACCAACTGGGCGCGTCAAGGCTCCTTCTGGCCCATGACCTTCGGTCTGGCTTGCTGCGCCGTGGAAATGATGCACCTCTCCACCCCGCGCTACGACCAAGACCGTCTCGGCATCATTTTCCGTGCCTCGCCCCGCCAGTCCGACGTGATGATTGTGGCCGGCACGCTGACCAACAAGATGGCGCCCGCGCTGCGCCAGGTGTACGACCAGATGCCTGACCCGCGCTGGGTGATCTCCATGGGTTCGTGCGCCAACGGCGGTGGATACTACCACTACAGCTACAGCGTGGTGAGAGGTTGCGACAGGATCGTGCCGGTCGATGTGTATGTTCCCGGCTGCCCGCCGACGAGCGAGGCGTTGATGTACGGGATCTTCCAGCTGCAGAGGAAGATGAGAAATACCAAGATTACGAGGATGTGGTATAGGAAGTAAGAAGAGGGGACTTGGTTTGGAGAGAGGACGGAAAAGGGAAAAAAAAAAAGAGAGAGAGAGAGAGAGAGAGAGAGATATGCATAAAAGATACATACCACATCATGTTTTGGCGTTTCTTTTGTGTCGATTGTGCTGGATGTGTATACACTCAACAGAGTCGCCCGCAGACGCTGAGCGGTTACATGTCCTGAACCTTTTTTTTTTTTCCCGAGATATTATCGACGAAGCTCATGAAGAAGAGCGAGGGGGTAGTCTCACCGGGCAATATCCGACGAATGGGTCAATAAAACTTTTATTTTGGCCCCCTTACTCAAAGATAAAAAGTGAAGCTACACCTTAAAGCTCCCATGGCCATACCAGCTCATATGTTGATATGTTAAAAATACCGCGATAACTGTCCGTTCGCGTCGGGCATTTCAATACCTGAATAATAGCCCACAATGCTCCTAAACTCCCATAGCCATTCATCCAGTCCTTGCTTGCTTGATAAATATGACGACAACTTATTAACTCCCCTGAAAAACACCAGGTACACGACCCATCCGTCCACCCAAAGAACATCAATACCCGTGGGTACTTTTAGGAACACAAACGAAAAAAAAAAACAACAAAACAAAAAAAAAGCAAAGAAAAAAAAGAATTGCAAGTCATCCTACCCGTCGATCCGTCTCCATCGACGTCGGCTGGCCCTCGCCCGACCCGCCCAGGTCCGGGTTCAGGTAGTTCGGCTCTTCAGCTGCCTCGTACTCGGCAATCAGATCGCACACGACCTCCTTGGCCTCGTCGAACTCGGCGAAGCCGTCTGCGAACGGAGCCGTCTTCTTGTAGCCTTCGAGGAAGGCGTTGCGCTTGCGCATGCCTTCGTATTGCCGGTAGATACGTTTGAATAGCTACGACCGTCAGTAATGATGCCTACAACGTAATTAAGAGGGGGGGGGGGAAGGAGTAGGCCTACAGTAGCAATGCTAGTGTGATTCGCCAGCATCAACCCGCTCACGCGGTGCGACATGGGCACGTACGGACTGCGCTTCGTCAGCGCCACCTGGATGCTGGCCGGGCCCCACGGAATAAATGTGGCCAGCCTTCGCTCGCGGATGCGCAGCAGCGACTTGTGTACGTCGGTCGGGTCCACCTCGCCCTGGATCACATTCAAGATGGAGATGTAGCAGCTCTTTTTGCCGGGCACCGTCGACACCATCCTGTTCTTGGGCTGCAGCAGGCGGCGCATCACGTCGAGCACCGTCGTCTTGCGGACGGTTTTCGCTTGCTCCACTTGGTCGCCCGTGAAGGGAGTGTAGGCTGTCATCAGGAAGTGGCAGCGGGGCGTGGGAATCAGGGAGGCGAGGATCGAGACGAGGTCGTTGTGCATGTAGCCGGGATAGCGCAGGGTTGTGGTGCTGGCGGACATGACGGTCGACACGAGCTGGTTGGTTTGCTGGAAGGAGGGCTCCTGTAAGTGCAGGCGGTCGGCGGCGATGTGGGCGAGGGCGCCGTTGTCGAGGACGACGACCGAGTCGGCGTTTTGGGTTAGGCGGCGCATGGTTAGCATGCTGTTGTACGGGTGCACGACGACGTCGCCTGAGTTAGTAGTGTCTGGAAAGACGGAGTAGGTCTGGATGATCTTCTTCGGAAAGCGATCGTTTAGGCGTTCGAGCAGGAAGGAGCCTAAGCCAGAGCCGGTGCCGCCGGCGATGGAGTGCAGCATCATGAAGCCCTCGAGCGAGTCGCTGCCGTCGGCCTCGCGGTCGATCATCTCCAAGATCTCCTCGTGGACGGACTCGGCGGTCTGGTAGCCATCGCCCCAGTTGTTACCCGCACCGGTGCCGTGCTTGCCCACGTAGAAATTCTCGGGGTTATAGATATTTCGGTAGGGGCCGGTCTGGATGCCGTGGATGACGCGCGGCTCAAGGTCGATCAGGATGGCGCGGGGGATGTACCGGGTGTCGTCGCTTTGATAGTAGAAGACATCTTTGCGGTCGCCCCCTTCCGTCGCAAAGTCCTCGAGCGTGCCGTCTTGGCTGATGCCGTGCTCCTGGCAGAGCTGCTGCCAGAACTGGCTGCCGACTGGGGTGTTGTTAGCGAGGGTAAGGTGGTGAGGTGGTGAGGTGGTGAGGGGGTTGTTGTAATGGTGTTCCAGAGAGGTCAGCACTTACTGCTATTGCCGCATTGGCCGGCCTGGATGGTGATTATTTCCCTGGCACTGTCAGCATTTACATGGCACAAGAAAATTATGGATGGATCCTGGAGTTACCTGGGCATGTTGGCGGTCGCATTGGGCTGGGGTTGCTGTGCCCTCTCGATGGTGTGTCGTTTGCGATGGGGGAAACGCGTCGTGATGACGCGCCCAATCTGCCCAATGAATTGAGTGGATGGATGGGATCAGCTCGGGTGCCCCGCCGACGAGGGGCTGCAAGGGGACAATGCAACGGCGCAGGGTCTTGATCCGCGACCCTAACCCTGGATAATCAGCTAACATCAAAATTGGAACCTAACTTTTTGCTGCCGTCATTCCATGACATGGCAGTGCATGCAGACTGGCATCTTTCTGACCATTTTCTCTTCTCTTCTCTTCTCTTCTCTTCTGGGATCCCTCTCTTTCCCATGTCGCACAGTCCAGTCCACAATTGATTTTGGCCTGTTGCTAAAATAGGAGCTGATTCCCCTGTCGATCTTTGTCCTCTTCGTGTTTCTAGATCGCGTGTAAATTACACGTGCAAGATGGCGCTGCGTATGAAGGATCCGCTCAGTGGTGCAACACTCAAGCAGACATGCCTTCGGACTTTGACATAACGGAAGATCGTGACACGGGTGTCTTTACAGAGCTGTAGGTTACGGTATCTAGAGAAAATTTCTGGAGGCTATCAATCTGCCATACATTTTCCAAAGGAGGGAGCCTGAAGCCGTGCCTTGCCGTCTTTTGCGGACGTCCAACGCCGTTACAAAAGGCGTAATTACAACGTGGGATGGTTAAATTGCACGCAGAGGAACCCCCCTGTCTGATTCGCCCTGAACGCCCATCCTTGGGTGTCCACTCATGGCTCCACAGATACTTTTAGGGACAGGCCTGGGAAGTGGAAAGGGAAAGTTGGATGGTTGCATCAGCGTCTCCAGGTTCCAGTTTCGTCCCGTTCCCGTTCCCGTTCCAGTTCCAGCTCCAGTTCCAGTTCCAGTTCCAAGAGGGCACCAGGAAAGCTGTTACTGTTGCGAGCTGTCCTCCCCAACACCGAGCCACACAGTCGATCGCTGCGAAACGAACCACAAAACATTGACCCTGACTACTTGGCTGACTTGTTGCTGCGTCTGCGTTGCCTGAAGTGCGCTTTCGTCGCCTGAACCTAACCTGGCTCTCGGAAGCTGTCCCCTCCCAATTCCAAACTACACACCACCACGCCCCGAGCCACGAGCTGTCCAGAGGTTTTTTCCTACCCATACTCCAACTTTCTCGACTGCGACTCTGCCACGCGTGTGAGCTCCCGCTTCTAGATCGCCCTAGCGTCGCATCATCACCCGTCGACAGCACGGCTGTTAGAGGTCGCCTGGTCAGCGCCTCAAGGCCACCCCAAACTGTCTCTCCGCAACAAAAGAGGACAACAACCGCCTGATCGCCCGCTCGGTCTGGACTGTGATCTATCCCGTCTTCCCGTCCTCGCGTACTTTCGATCCTCGCTCGCCCTCGCTATCCGTATCCATATCCATCCATATCCATATCCATATCCATATTCCACATCCATCTGGAGTCAGCTGTTTCATCGGTCACCAGCTGTCGGTCGTACTCCCACGTTTTTGCCACCCAATCAGTTATAGCCCTTGCAGGAGAGATCTCGTCCGCACCGTCCAAAGTCGAAAACGCTGGTCGGACGCGCCATCGTGCGTAGGAGTACAAGCCACGGCGACTGAGCACAAGCAGCTTCCAAGACTCACATGCTTGTGTTACCCGGGACACTGTCTTCGCCGCCGAACCTAGAGGTCTGAAGTGCTCGGTGGGATCTGTTGTTGGCATCTTTGCTCGACCAGTTCCCTCTCCAGAGAGTTATGTTCCAGTACCGTTGCATGTTCGTCATGCCTTGTTATTGAGGATTGAGGAGCTATCCGACTAGAGGCTCTACCTAGACACGTCTACGTTTCCGTTTTTAATTTTTTTCTTATTTTTTGTTTTTTTTGTTTTTTTGTTTTTTTTTCCTGCGCTTGTGGGACGATGCCAGACACACGACCCCAAAATGCCGCCGTGGCACTAAGGGACACTCCCCTGTCACTAGAGACCGATAATGGGACGCCTACCCGTCCACAGCCCCTAGGTTCCGATCAGTTCGACTTCGCCACGAGACCCTCCTCCTTAAGAAGCCAACTTGGTCCTGAGAACGAAGGCCCCACCAGCACCGGCGAGAGGATATCTCACAGCACCAGTGGCTTCCGACCCCAACATCTGACCGTTCAGGTTCCTCAGAGTCCCGGCCCTGTGAGCCCGAGGACTACGCTGAGCGACATCCTCGAACCTTCTTCGGCTGGCCCATCTGGGAAGAATGTCCAGTTTGGACAGGAAGAGGAGATAATCCCCGACCCGACGCCTTCACACTCCCACTCACGGACCGGTTCATGGGATACGCGGGAGGCCTTAGGCAAGTTCCGCGGCTCCGGCCTGATGGCAAAGCTGAAAGAGCTAGCTGGGCCCATCAGCACGCCGTCACAACCGCCTAGGACCCCCGTGGGGGGTTCTGAGTTCCCCTCGACGGCGAGCTCCCCAACAACGTCACGACATCCGACCCGTCATGAGGGTAGCGACGACGATGCGGACGCCGAAGAGACTGCCGACGAGACGACGGCGGGTCATCCCAACAAGGGCAAGCAAAAGAAGAAGAGGCGGATGCGCCGGTATAGGGTTAATGACCATTCTTCCCTTCCTAACACACCGGGAGGTCCTGGAGCCGTGGAGACGCCGACGAGCGCCAATGCCAGCGGCCACAATGTTGCAAATTCCAGCCCCCATGGCCCACTTTCCTTTTTAAGGAGGACAACGTTTGCTGGTTTCGACGACCATGGCTTCTCTGAGGGAGAGGGCCGCGATCGCCTGTTCAGGGAGCGTCTCGCCCGGCGAGCTGCAGCCCACGGTCTATCGATTTCAAGAATGGGCATAGATGCCGACGATGCGGACGGCCCGTCGAGTTCGCGCATGGGCTATCATTTTCGTCGCTTCTCAGCATTGGGGGGAGGAGGAGGAGGAGGAGGAGGAGGAGGCGGCGGTGACAGAGGCGGTGGAGTATCAGACGGGGACGCTATGAGCCCCAGGAGGCCCTTCTTTGGGACGGAAAGAGCGTCGACTTTCGGCGCGCAAAAGTGGCGTCAAGTCAAGGGCGCACTCAAACTCCTGCGGCAGAAGAGGGAAGAGCAGTTCGACTTTTCCAAATCCGCGGAACTCATGGCCGAACTGCGCGCCGTCGCCCCCGCTGTGCTGATCCTCGCCAGCATGATCCAGCGCGACGAACACGGTAACAAGAGGATTCCGGTCCTCCTGGAGCAGCTGCGTCTGCGCATCACCGACAGCCAGCCCATCCAAGGCAAGGACAGCGAACGGCATTGGATCTTCACCGTCGAGCTCGAGTATGGCAGCGGTCCCAGCCAGATGAAGTGGACCATCAAGCGCACCATCAAGGACTTCTTGAACCTACACTGGAAGTACAAGCTGGCGCTGGCGAACGAGGGCTTCGGCTCGAACCTGGGCAATCGCCCCAAGCAGCCCAGCTTCCCCTTGTCGGCCTTCCCCTACCTCCGTGGCGTGAGAGGGTTGGAAGAGGACGGCGACGAAGAGAAGGATAAGCCTGCCGGCCCGAGCCACACCAATACCACCGATACTATGCAGTCCGGCCTCCCTCAGCCGCCCCCGTCTCTGCATATCGCGGGAGAGGACACGGCTGGGGAGAACACTGCCGGCGAGATAACCGCCCCGGAAGGCACCGATGCGGAGAACAGGCCTCCCAGGCGTCGTTCCCGCATGCCGTACCTGGGTGGTCGGCGCAAGCCGTCTGCGCTGGGCTCGAACGCCGACCTCAGCCAGGCGGCAGCGGACGCGGCGGCGCAGCGTCGGCGCTACGTCGAGAGACAGCAGCGCATGCTGGAGAAGTATCTGCATGACATGATCCGCTGGCTGATGTTTCGTGCCGACAGCAACCGGCTGTGTCGCTTCCTGGAGCTATCGGCGCTGGGTGTTCGGCTGGCGGCCGAGGGCAGCTACCATGGCAAGGAGTGCTACCTGCACATTCAGTCGTCTAAGGGGCTCGATTTCCGGAGAGTGCTGACGCCCGGCAAGGTGATTGCTCGGCACACGAGGAAGTGGTTCCTCGTGCGGCAGAGCTACATCGTGTGCGTCGAATCGCCGGAGAATATGAACATCTACGATGTGTACTTGGTCGATTCCAAGTTCCAGATCGTGTCGAAGAAGAGCAAGAAGCAGGCGGCCGAGCAGGACGACGACGATGATGATGGCGACGACAACATCGAGAACCTGGATCTGTCGACCCGGCCGCAGCAGAAGCATCAGAAGCACCACACGCTCAAGCTGATTACGTCGGAGCGCAAGGTGAAGCTCTTCTCGCCGAACCAGCACCTGATTGCGCAGTTCGAGGAGTCGATCCGCGAGATGCTCAAGAACACGCCGTGGCACGGCAAGAACCGGTTCAACAGCTTCGCGCCGGTGAGGACGGGCGTGTATGCGCAGTGGCTCGTCGACGGCCGCGACTACATGTGGAACGTCTCTCGGGCCATCAGCATGGCCAAGGACGTCATCTACATCCACGACTGGTGGCTCAGCCCCGAGCTGTACATGCGCCGGCCGGCCTGTATCAGCCAGAAGTGGCGACTGGACCGCCTGCTCCAGCGCAAGGCCGCCGAGGGCGTCAAGATCTTCGTCATCGTCTACCGCAACGTCGAGGCTGCCATCCCGATCGACTCGGAGCACACAAAGTTCTCGCTGCTTAACCTGCACCCGAACATCTTCATCCAGCGATCGCCTCATCAGTTCAAGAAGAACCAGTTCTTCTTCGCCCACCACGAGAAGATCTGCATCGTCGACCACGACATCGCCTTCATCGGCGGCATCGACCTGTGCTTCGGCCGCTGGGACACGCCGCAGCACCCCGTCGCCGACGACAAGCCAACCGGCTTTGAGCCCGGGTGCGATTTGCCCAAGGATGCCGAGCACTGCCAGTTGTTCCCCGGCAAGGACTACTCCAACCCGCGCGAGCGCGACTTCTTCAAGCTTACCGACCCCTACGAGGAGATGTACGACCGCTCTCGCACCCCGCGCATGCCCTGGCACGATGTCGGCATGCAGGTGGTCGGCCAGCCCGCGCGCGACTTGACCAGGCATTTCGTGCAGCGGTGGAACTATGTGCGTCGCGGCAGGAAACCGACCCGGCCGACGCCGTTCTTGCTGCCGCCGCCGGATTGCAGGCCGGAGGAGATGGAGGCTGTCGGGTTGACGGGCACGTGCGAGGTGCAGATCCTGCGCTCGGCTTCGACCTGGTCGCTGGGCATCACCGAGACCGAGGACAGCATCCACTCGGCGTACATCAAGATGATCGAGGACTCGGAGCACTTCGTGTACATGGAGAACCAGTTCTTCATCACCAGCACGGAGACGCTCAACCACAAGATGGTCAACGGCATTGGCGATGCGTTGGTTAGGCGCATTATCCGCGCGCACCGCAACCACGAGGACTGGCGCGCTATCATCCTCATCCCGCTGATGCCTGGCTTCCAGAACGAGGTTGATCAACAGGATGGCACGTCCATCCGGCTCATCTTGCAGTGCCAGTACCGCAGCATCTGCCGCGGCGAGCACTCTATCTTTGGCCGGCTGCGGGCCGCGGGCATCGAGCCGGAGGATTACATCCAGTTCTTTAGCCTGCGGCAGTGGGGCAAGCTGGGCTCGGGGCTGCTGACGACGGAGCAGCTGTATATTCATGCCAAGTGCATCATCGTGGATGACCGTGTCGCGCTCATTGGCTCGGCCAACATCAACGAGCGGTCGCTGCTGGGTAATCGCGACTCGGAGGCGGCGGCGATTGTGCGCGATACCGACATGATCTGGTCGACCATGGCCGGCAGGCCGTACCAGGTCGGTCGGTTCGCGCATACCCTGCGTCTGCGGCTGATGAGGGAGCACTTAGGTCTGGACGTAGATGAGATTCTGGAGCAGGAACGCCAGGCCGACCTTATGGAGCAAGATGAGCGGTTCAGGAGGGAGATGGACGAGATCTACCATAGCGATGATCCCGAGCTGGGGCCCGTCAAGGATGGACCGTCCTTGACGAGGGAGAAGAGGAAGACGACGGTGTCGTATGCCGAGCCCGAGGCGCAGCTGCCTAGGAGCCCGACACGTTCGCATCCTTCCGCTGGCCAGAGCGGGGACGCCGACGCAGAGGAGCCGAAGAGGCAGCGCAGGAAGAAGAGGATGTCCTGGAGCTCGTGGCGGTCGACGGCGGGGAGGGATGATGAGGGGCGGGAGGAGGACTTGGGTGCTGAGAGATACAGGCTGGAGGTGGAAGGCTTCGGGCCGGATCACTGGCGTCAGGCGCAGGAGCAGGGCTTGGATCAGGGGCGCGACTCGGTTATTGTGGGGGGTGAGCACGAGGTGCTCGTGCATGACGTGTCGGCCGAGGGTAAGGGCACTGTTGATCATCCCGTCGACGTACGCCGGCCTAAGTCCAGCGGCGGAAAATCTGCGGCCGCAATTGCTAAGGAGGAAGCTCTTGGGTCATCGTCGTTGGCGGCGGCAGCGGTGGTGGAGCAGGAACGGCCACAGACGTCGCGCCGCGGAAGCCAGCCGTCGCAGTTCCAGGCTCAGACTTCGGAGGAAAACAATAACAATAACGGCGACTACTCGAGCAACCGCTCGCCTTCTCCCTCGCCGCTCTCTCACTTCATTGCGTCTATCCGGCAAGCCGACATCGACAAGGACTGCATGCGCGACCCGCTCGATCCGGATTTCTACGAGAACGTGTGGTGTCGCGTAGCCGAGAACAACACGCGCATCTTCCGCCGCGTCTTCCGCTGCATGCCCGACTCCGAGGTCACGAACTGGAGCGAGTATCGGAATTTTGCCGACTATTATAAGAAGTTCAAGCTCAGCATGGAGGAGCTGATCACTGGCGGGCGGACGTCGAGTGCCGGGGTTATGGCTGCATCGGAGGAGGCTGAAAAGGAGAAGGAGAAGAGCTTGGACAGGCAGGTTGCTGCTGGTGGGGCGGGGATCGCGGCGCCTGGGCCTGCGGTGGTCGCTGGTGCTGTTATAAATGAGAAGGTTACCGGTCCGGTGGGCAAGGTTGCGCAAGCTGTGATGAATGAGAAGGAGGCTCTGAAGGCTGACGCTGGGCCGTACGAGAATTCGAGTCTCAACGCGGCTAATGGCAATGGGAATGGTGCTGGCAATGGCAACGGCAACGGCAACGGCAACGGCAACGGATGGATTACCTCCAGCCACGACACCCTCCCCGGCTCAGAGTCCAGTCTGGCGCTGAGCAGCCGTCCTAGCCAGCGTCCCCGTCGCGATAGCAGCTATGCTCGTGGCAGGGATATCACCGCCCGACCGTCTACTACGAGAGGCAGCACCTCCTCTGGCGCGGCAACGCCAACCCCGAATGCGGCACCGTCTATGGAACAGCAACTATCTCAATCACAACCGAAGGTCACGACCCTAGCACCGACTCCCTCCCAACGCCGTGGAGGAACCGCAGGCGGCACCCGTCGGCGGGCGACGACTAGAGGCTCGCGTCGCGGCGGCGGGAGCAGCAACACGGGCACGGCGCTGGAGTGGCAGATGCTGACGCCGCAGCAGGCCGAGGAGCTGCTGAAGCTGACGCAGGGCCCGCTGGTGCAGTTCCCGTACGATTGGCTCGTGGTGGAGGAGACGAATGGGAATTGGCTTTTCCAGGTGGATATGGTGGCGCCGTTGGCTATTTAGTAAGTTCACCTTTCGTTTTGTCCCCATGAGATATGAGATGGAGGAGAAGATGAGATGCTAACTGGATTGTAGCAACTAAAATAGCAACTAAAAAAAAAAAAAGTTATAAACGAGAGAGAGGAGAGGAAGAAGAAGAAGAAG